GGGTGGGAGGATCACAGTTCTAGGGCAAGGGAGGCACTTATAGTCAAGGTACCTTCCATCCTGGGAAGTTTTCAAGAGCTTTCAAGGCACTTGTAAGGTGAGGATTTAGCAATTGAGCTGTCACATCAGGCCCAAGAGAGAATCTTTCATGACCTCAACAGCCATGGTGGGGGCAGGCCAAAATCAAGAGCCAGGAACTCATATGTGTGCTGGTTTGTATCCAGGCTGCTCCACTTCCCTTCCAGCCCCATGTTTGTAGCCTGGAAAAGCAGAAGAGGAGGGCCCAAGGGCTCGGGACCCTGAAGACCTGTGGAAGATCTGGAAGAAGCTCCTGTCTGCTGGCTTCAGATCAGCTCAGCTCAGTCCATTGCAGCCACTTGGGGAGTGAACCAGTGGATGTAAGATCTTTGTCTCTCCTCCTCTCTGAATATCTGCCTTTCTAATAAATAAAGTAAAATAAATCGTATACAAATGTGCACATTCCAGGGTGGGCGTTTGTTAATAAGACTCTGCTGCAGATACCCTCAATCCGTATTGGAGCGCCTTGCTGGAGCTCTGGCTGTGCTTTCTATGCCAGCTTCCTGCAGGTGCACGCTCTGGGAGGCAGCAATGATGGCTCAAGTGGCTGGGTCCAGGCTCCTGGCTTCAACCTGGCCAAACCCTAACTGTTGCAGACATTTGAAGAGTGAATCTTCCAGGTGGAAGATTCATTCTCTCTCTCTTCTCTCTTTTGCTTTCAAAAGAAAATGCAAATGAATAAGAAACATTTGTGATGCCGGCACCCCGTATCAGAAGGCCTATGTTCAATTCGGGGGTTTAACTCCTGACTGCAGCTTCCTGCCAACACAACCCTGAGAGACAGAAGGAAGGGCTCAAATAACAGAGTTCTTGCCACTCCCATGGGAGACAAGGACTGAGTTCTTGACTCCCGGTTCAGCTTTACTCAGTCCCTGCCACTGCAGGCATCCAGGTATAAATCAGCAACTATAATGTGTACACACACTCTCTCTCTTTAACTCTCAAATTTAATTTAATAACTAAAAACATATCTCTTTGGGGGACTGTTTGTTTATAAAGATTTATTTATTTTGATTGGAAAGGCAGATATACAAAGAGGAGAAGAGACAGAGAAGAAGGTCTTCTGTCCAATGATTCACTCCACAAACAGAGCCAATTCAATGCCAGGAGCCTCCTTGCAGTGCAGGCGGGTACAGGGTCTCAAGGCTTTGGGCTGTCCTCAACTGCTTTCTCAGGCCATCAGCAGGAAGCTGGATGGGAAGCGGGGCCACCAGGATTAGAACCAGCGTCCATATGGGATCCCAGCAGGTGCAAGGCGAGGACTTTAACCACTACACTATCGCGCTGGTGTATATATTTAGATCTGAGTCACTCTGTGCCCCATCCCACGGATCTGTGTGCTTCTTGGGATCTGGAGGCACAAGATGTTTCACCTCTCACTGATGACATTGAATGTGACCAACAGTCAAGCTGCTGTCTGGTTTTCCTGCTCAGTTGTGATGAATAAGCCAGTGGTGGGGGAACTGTTCCTGGATGCACTCTGTTCCTTCTGAAACTCCCCTCCTCCCCAAGCATCGGCACTGGCAGGTGAGTACTGACCAAGCCAAGGCTGCTTAATATGATCACAGGACGATTGCTTTCCAGCTCCACCATCCCTCTTCATTTATCAACTGGTGTTCCTCCACTCTCCTTCATGCATGTATTCAATCATCTACCACGGTAGGTTTGTAGAATCCTACTTCCCAACGGTTCCTAATTCATCCTCTGCTGAGTTATTTTGGTGCTTCTCCTGTGCCAAAGGCAGCCAATGGAAGATCCCCTTCCTGCTGGTTCCTGTGTATGTCCTTTTGAAAAGCTCCCATTGTTTTTTCTCAGAGTCACCACTTTGTGATGTGCAATGTAAATCTTTGGTTTTTCCCATCTCAAACCTGGAAAAGGACCTGGAATTAGGCCAAAGATTCCTGGTCCTTTTAATGGGAAAGAGATTGGGGGACCTCGGTGCCTGCTGCCCATGATTACTGGGGTGTTTTTCCTTCCAGGCTCCTTTATGTAAACAAGTACAGCTCTGCCATTCACAGTGTCGCTCTTGGCGATGGCAGCACCAGGTTATTAACACAGCCTGAACATAACAAACTGAGCAACAACTTAAAAGTTTTGGGAGCTGGGGCCACTGTATGACACAGCTGGTTAAACGGTCACCTGCTCCACTGGCATCCCATGTAAGCATCAGTTCAAGTCGTAGGTGCTCCATTTCAGATCCAGTTCCCTACTAATGTGACTGGGAACGCAGCCAAAAACAGCCCAAGTGCTTGAGCTCTTGTCACCCATGGGAGAGACCTAGCCGGAGTACTAGGATGCTACTTTTCACCTTGCCCAGTGCTAGTCATTGAAGCCACTAAGGGGAATCAGGGGAAGAGTGAGTGTGTGTGTGTGTGTGTGTGTGTGTGTGTGTGTGTGTGTGTGTGTGTGTCTTGTTCTCCCCCTCTTTTTGCTGCCTCTCTTTGTGCTACTCTACCTTTCAAATAAATAAATCTTTTTTTAAAAAAAAGCTCAGGAGCCAGGAGCTCTTTCAGTACCCATATGGGATCCTGGTGCATGCAAGGTGAGGACATTAGTCATTAGGTTATTATGCCAGGCCCTATTTATTTATTTTAAAGGCATAATTACAGTAAGAGAGAGAAAGAAAAATCTTCCACCCATCAGATCATTACTCAAATGACTTAAATGGTTAGGGTTGGGTCAGCTTGAAACCACATGCCTAGAACTCCATCTGGGTGTCCAATGTGGGTGCCAGGGACCCAGGCATATGGTCCCTCTTCTGCTACCTTCCCAAACACCTTAGCAAGGAGCTATATGGAAAGTGGAGGCGTTTATATAGGATACTGTCATTGCAGGCTTTAGCTTAACCCACTACACTATAACACACTGCCTTCGATTTTTTTTTTCAAGATGTATTTATGGGCCCGGCGCCATGGCCTAGCAGCTAAAGTTCTTGCCTTGAACCTGCCGAGATCCCATATGGGCGCCGGATCTAATCCCAGCTGCTCCACTTCCCATCAGCTTCCTGCTTGTGGCCTGGGAAAGCAATAGAGGACAGTCCAAAGCCTTGGGACCCTGTACTCATGTGGCGGCCTGGATCAGCTCATCTCTGGCCATTGCAGTCACTTGGGGAGTAAATCAGCACACAGAAGATCTTCCTTTCTGTCTCTCTTCCTCTCTGTATATCTGACTTTCCAACAAAAATTCATAAATCTTAATAAATATTTCTTTACAGGAAATTGCCCAAGGCATTGTGGCATAGCAGATTAAGTTACCACCCATAGTACTGGTATTAGTTTGAGTCCTACCTGCTCTACTTCTGATCCAGCTCCCTGCTACTGCTCCTGGGAAAGCAGTGGAGGACGGCCCACATCTGTGGGTCCCTGCTTCCACATGGGAGACCCAGAAGAGGGTCCCAACTCCTGACTTTAGACTGGTCCACCCCCACCTGCTGTGGCCACTTGGAAAGTGAATCTGTGTTGATCTGAGATCTGTCTCTCCCTCTCTTTGGGATTTTCTTTCAAATAAATAAGTAAATCTTAATTTTAAAAGTTTTCTCCCTGGGAACAATGGAGTATTAAAAAAATAGCTGTAGAATGATTGTTTATTCAGTGGCCATGGCATCCACACCCCATGTATTTGGGTCTGGCTTCTGATTCAGCTGTCTGCAAATACAGTCTCTGGGAGACAGAGGCTATAGCTCACCTAATTGGAGTTCCAGCAACCATACGGGACTCCGTGTGAGAGACCCGGATTCAATCTCCAGTTCCTGGCTTCATGCCAGCCCAGTAGGGCCTTTGCCAACTGTGTGATGTGAACCAACGGATAGAAGTATGAGCTCCTGATCTCTCTGCTGCTCAAATAACAATGAAGTACTGAATGAATCAACAGCTCCCAGACTCAAAAAATGTGGTCACTGCTGAGATTAGAGGAATACAAATGGCCACAGAGCTGGGCATGTGGTACAGCAAGTGAAGCCACTGCTAGGGACACGGGGACTCCACATCAGAGAGCAAGTTGGTGTACCAGTTGCCTCTATTCCAGTCCAGCTCCCTACTAATACACCTGAGCAGTGGATGGCTCCAGTGCTTGATCCCTGCCACTCACATGGGGGACTGAGAAAGAGTCCCGCACTCTTGGCTTTGACCTGGCCAAGCCCCTACTGCTGTGGGCATTTGGGCAATGAACCTCAACCAAATGAAAGATCTCTCTTCCCATCTCTCTTTCAAATAAATAAATATTTTTAAAAGTCAAAACGGTCCCACGTTTTTGGCACCCCTCTGAAGGCGGCTTGTAGTCATGCCTAATGACTTGTCTTCTCCAAAGGAGAAATAAGGACCTGGCCAGGTTAGCCCCCCTGCGGATGAAAGAGCACAAGCAAACAGCCTGCACCTGCCTCCCACCACGTGACTGAAGACAGCTCGGACCATCTAACCCCAAGCGCCCATGGCTGCCACCAGGACCAGGAATTTGAAATGCCCAGACTGGGAGTACAGAGGGCTGGGGGTGGGGGGAGGAGCTTCCCGCGCCTCCCCGCGTCCCAGCGATCTCCTCCGCGCCCAGCAGAAGGCGCCCGGGCGCCCGCATTCCCCGCGCAGAGCCAGCAGCCGAGCCGCGCGGCGCTGCGGTACCGAGAGCGGGGCGGCGGCCTGAACCCTTGCGCGCGGCTGGTGGCACTGGGTGCCAAGGATCACCGGCCTTGTTCCAGGGCTGGGGTGCTGCGGCTTCTCAACTCTGTTTCCCCGGGCACGAAGCGTGTATCCGTCGTCCCCCGACCCCCGCCCTGGGGCCGTGGTCTACAAAGCCCCGCGAGTGTGAAGGCGGGAGGCAGCAGTGCGCTCCGGAGGCGGGAGGAGCCCGCCCACACCGTCAAGCTCACGATCACCTCCCCCCATCAGGACACCTTCTAGCCCCATGAGGCCCCCCAGGTCGGGGCTGAGAGCCCGGCGCAGCCCGGACCGAAATCTTGCGGCGGCCTCGGAGCCTTAGACAGGTCAGTAAGCGGCCGGGATGAGGGGCTGGAGACGTAGGCGGGAGCAGGCGCGCAGATTCCGAGGCCACCCGCGGTGTCACTTCAGCGGGAGGCACCCCCGGTGGGGCGTGATGCTACATTTTTCCTGGCAGGTCAGGTGTGGAGCCGCCCTCTGCAGCCCACCCTACCCAGGTGACGCTCCGAATGGGGAGGAGGAGGATGGGGGGAGCGGCCGGGGCGGGCGGTGGGCTTGGGGACCTCCCTGCGCCTCTTTATTAGAGGCAGTGCTTGATTGTACCTAGGCACGATCGCATCTCTCTCATCAAGAGGCCAGGCCTCCGCTGAGAGAGAATAGGAGATACGAGAAGAAAGCAAGCCGGGAGACCCCGGGAGCCTGGGAGGCAAGGGGTGGGCGTAGCGGGAAAGCGACTGGAGGCACGGACCCTGGTGCTAGATGTGGAACCAAGAGCGCCCTGGGGAGTCGGCGGGAGCCTCCCAGGTCGGGGCGGTCAAGGGCCCAGCCCCACCGCCTGTCGGCCGGTCTACCACCTCTCTCACCTCCCCACACACACCGCACCCTACCACCATTCCAGGATGCGGCTGGGCCGCCGCGCCCTCTGCGCGCTGGCCTTGCTGCTCGCCTGCGCCTCGCTTGGGCTCCTCTACGCTAGCACCCGGAGCGCGCCGGGCCTCCGCGCACCTCTGGCGCTGTGGGCACCCCCGCATAGCGTCCCCAGGCCGGAGCTGCTAGACCTGGCCCCTGAGCCGCGCTACGCGCACATCCCGGTCAAAATCAAGGAGCAAGTGATCGGGTGAGTGGCTAGCCGGCGGCAGAACACTCGCTGCCGGGTGGCCCGGTGCTTTGTTCCCTCCAGCACTGGGCTTGGCTCTGCCTGCGTTGTTCTCCAGCCCGGTGTTGGGGGGGGGGCGGGGAAGGGGGAGGAAGAAGCAGCTGCGGCTGGGGCTTGGGCGGGGGGCTTTTCACGCATGTGCCAATGGGAGGGATGTGCAGTCGCGGGCGGGGCCCTTAAGACTTCGCGATGTCCTGGATGTAGGTATTAGGTTTCACAAGGGCCCCTGACTGGGAGCAGGCAGCTCCTACCATCCAGACACCCCCCCGCCACCCACCCCCCCACACACACAGGGTAGGGGGGTCTGGTCCCTGCTGGAAACCAGGTCAAAAGCAATGCTGGAGGAGCCAGCGCTGTAGCGGCAGGTGTAGCGCCTGCAGGACAGCGTGGCCGGGCTCTGAGCAGTCCCTGTCCCTTCAGGCTACTGGCCCAGAACAGCTGTACCTGTGAGTCCAGCGGAGGGGGCCTGCCCCTCCCCTTCCAGAAGCAGGTCCGGGCTATTGACCTCACCAAGGCCTTTAACTCTGAGGAGCTGAAGGCCGCCTCTGCAGCAAGGGAGCAGGAGTACCAGGCCTTTCTCTCAAGGTACCAGCAAGGAAAAAAAAGGAAATGGATGTGCAGGGAGAGAGTGTGGGAGGCCTGGGACTGGGGGCAAGCGGCAGAGCCAGGAGAGTACCCCTTGCACTTCCTCTCTTCCAGGAGCCAGTCCCCAGCTGACCAGCTACTCATAGCCCCTGCCAACTGCCCCCTCCAGTACCCGCTCCAGGGTGTGGAAGTCCAGCCCCTCCGGAGTATCTTGGTGCCAGGTGAGGAGGGGAGCCCAGGAAGATGGGTGGCAACAGCTGCGGGATGATCTTGGGATAGCAGAAACTGCTTCTGGGGTAAGGGGGTCAGAGGGGTTTAGGAGGAGGGGGAGAGGCCAGAGGGATGTGGTATTGTCAGTAAGGAGGAAAGGCTGTCTGGGAAGACAGCAGTCTGTTCTTTTGTATGCTAAAGGTGAGGTGAGTGGGTCGGGCAGGCCACAGAAGAGGCATTGTTGGGATGTGGAGGCCACGTCCAGTTGTTTTAGACTGTTACCGGAAGCACCTGCTGACAGTGTTTGTAGGGAGAGTGAGAAAAGGTGAGTATAAATTCAGGGCTGCCTGAGTGGTTCTGACTGCTGCTTCTTCCCCCCAGGGCTAAGCCTGCAGGCAACTTCTGCTTTGGAAGTCTACCAGGTAATAGAACAGGGCAAGTGGGCCCTGAGGGCGGCCCAGAAGAGGGAGGAGGAGGTGGGCCTCACCCTTCCATTGCCGCTCCCACCCCACCCCCCAGGTGAACTTGACCGCCTCCCTAGGCACCTGGGATGTGGCTGGGGAAGTGAACGGAGTGACCCTCACTGGAGAAGGGCAGTCAGATCTCACCCTCTCTAGCCCAGGCCTGGACCAGCTCAACCGGCAGCTGCAGCTGGTCATTTACAGCAGCCGAAGCTACCAGACCAACACAGGGGATACAGGTGTGACCCCTTGGGGGAAGGTGGGGGTAAGCAACACAGCCTGGAACAAAAAAAAAAAAAAAAAAGGCAGCCAACATGGGACACAGTTGGGCAGTGACCAGGGCTTCCCTGCCACACAATGTGGGCATTTCAGCTGGGCCAGTGGGGCAGGGACAGAGAGAAGGGGCCTTTGTTTATCTGGGGCTGGTGCGGGCCAGAGGGAAACCTGAGCTTGGGTGTGTCTCCCCTTCAGGACACTGTGGGCTCCCTAACTTCAGGGGACTTTGCCTAGGAGCCTGTACCCTCAACTTACCCCCTACCGAGGCCAAAGGCCTTGACCTTCTAGAACTCCCACTTCTACAGCAGCAGAGTGTAATAGCACCCCCTGTCTCTCCAGGGTGTGTCTGTCGCTTTCAGGTTTCTCATCTGCCAGGCATTCTTTTCCCCTAGATTTCTACCTGGCTGGTTCCTTCCTAACAATTAAAACTTAGCTCCAACCTGTCCCCTTTCCCATTACATCACTTGTACTTTATCAAGATTTTTTATTTACATAAAAAGCTGCAGTACAGAGAAAGATCTTCCATCTGCTGGTTTACTCCCCAAATGGCCACAACAGCTGGGGCTGGGCCATGCCAAAGCCAGGAGCCAGTGTAGGTGCAGGGACCCCAACAACTCAAGCTATCTTTTGCTGCTTTCCCAAAGGCCAAGAGCAGTGAGCTAAATCCAAAGTGGGCAGCTGGTACTTGAACAAGGTGCCCATATCTGTAAGGTTCAAGTTCATGTTCAGAATAAAGTTCAGCTTAACATGAGGTTTATTGGGAGCGCACCTGCATGAGGTTCACTGGTCCAATAACAGACAATGGGTTAGGAGGCGGTAAAGGTGGAGTTTATGGGACAAAGTGATGTGCCTTATATGGTGTTATAGAGTGCTGAAGGTTCCTTTAGACCTTGGCGAATCCAAGGCTGAGGAGGGGCTGCATTCTGCAGGTGTGGCCTTAACCGCCACCCTTCTCAGCCTCTTCCTGAGCTGCCCCTCTCCCTCCCTGGCTGGGCTTACAATATGGCTGTGTCTGAAGGAGCTATGCCACAGCGGGAGGGAGGGAGCACTTTTTTAAAATTTCCTACCCAATCAGGATTAAACAGGATCTGAATTTCCTTACTCATTTAGCCTGGGACTAGATTGACTCCATTCCTCTCAGCTTTGATGGTTAAGTTGTGTCCGTGTGGGCAACTTACTTTTCCTGCCTCAGCTTCGTTTGCTGTAACAGGACCCTTCCTAATAGGGCTGAGATGAGGGTGAGCTGAACTCATTTGTTCATTCATTCCAGGCTTGGCAGAGTGCTCAGTAATGGTTCACTTTCCACTGAAAATGTTTGATTATCTAAATGTGAGTTCCATGTGTATAAGAACATTGCGTTCTTGTCCCCCATGCACAAAAAGGCAGGTCTAAGCAGGCACTTCACTGCTGATTGACTAACAAGAGCTCAGAGTCCGGGTCCTCAGAGCCAATTCCCTCCGTGTGCTTCTTCCTTCCAGTGCGCTTTGCTACCGAGGGCCACGAAGCTACATTCACCATCCGCATAAGACACCCTCCCAACCCCCGGCTCTACCCACCCGGCTCTCCACCGGACGCAGGTGAACCGCGAACTTAGGGACTTACTGGAGCCAGCCCTGGGTGGTTGGGGGAGGGGAGGGAGAAGTTGGGAGAGGGTGACCCTGGGAGCGGGGCTTTGAACTGCTTCCTCCCTCTCCCCCTTCCTCCCCCCCCCCACATACACACACCCCGGCCCTCAGCCCAGTACAACGTCAGCGCCTTGGTCACCATTGCCACCAAGACCTTCCTTCGCTACGACCGCCTCCGTGCGCTCATCGCCAGCATCCGCCGCTTCTACCCCACCATCACCGTGATCGTCGCGGACGACAGCGACAAGCCCGAGCGCATTAGCGGCCCGTACGTGGAGCACTATCTAATGCCCTTTGGCAAGGTGCGCCGCCAGCACGGGTGTGAGGGACTGAGGGTGCAGTGTGTGTGGGAGGGGGGAACGTATGTCCTGAGTCACGGACGGAGGTCGGGCCTGCTCCAGGTCAGGATTCCTGAAGTATAAGCGCCCTGGATGCAGCCAGCAGGCCTCCCTGCGTGCCGAACGATGCTAAGCAGCACCTGAGCTTTGCAGGGAAGGGCTGAGCTAAATGCACTGTAAAACCCTCCCCCACCCCAGGACCCGGGCTGGGTACCTCCGGGAAGTAGGGTGGGGCAAGAATCTACAATTTTTTTCATTAGCTCGGGGACACTGGAAGCATGCCACCTTTGGAGATAGGGCTGGGAAGGGTCAGGGAAGGAGAGAGGTGGCAGAGGCCCATCCAGGCTCCCTCAGAGTCCTTCCTCCCCACCCTTCCCCCCCAGGGCTGGTTCGCAGGCCGCAACCTTGCCGTGTCCCAAGTAACCACCAAGTATGTACTGTGGGTGGACGACGACTTCGTCTTCACGGCGCGCACGCGGCTAGAGAGGCTTGTGGACGTGCTAGAGAGGACACCGCTAGACCTGGTAGGCGAGCGTCGTGGTATGTGGGGTGGAAGGGGTGCCACGCCAAGGGAGCCGCGGCCGAGAGTGGCCAGCCCTGGGGATGCAGGGTACGGCTAAGCGAGGGCCCCAAGTCCCCATTCCCGGACCCCGATCCCGCGGATCGGCTTCCACCCGGAGAAAGAGGACACTGGAGCAGGGACAGGGGCAGAGGACCCAGCAGAAGGGAAAAACAGCAGAGACCTCTCCCCCCCACCCCCACCTCGTCACGGTACCGGTTCCCTCCCGCCTCCCGGATTCCCCGCAGGTGGGAGGCGCCGTGCGTGAGATCTCGGGCTTCGCTACCACTTACCGGCAGCTGTTGAGCGTGGAGCCGGGCTCCCCAGGCCTCGGTAACTGCCTCCGGCAAAGGCGCGGCTTCCACCACGAGCTCGTCGGCTTCCCAGGCTGCGTGGTCACCGACGGCGTGGTCAACTTCTTTCTGGCGCGCACCGATAAAGTGCGCGAGGTCGGCTTCGACCCGCGCCTGAGCCGCGTGGCGCACCTAGGTGAGTGGTGACCTCTGGCGGCCGGGCAGCCCCGGGGTAAGGGATAGCCCAAGGTGCCAAGGACCCGTCCCTCTTCCTGGCCCAGGCGGCTGACAGCCGAACATTCCCTCTCTCCCGCAACCTCCACTCCGCCCCTCCACCGCACGGCACCTCTGGGGTCCATGTTAAACTTGTTCAACTAGATACCTCTCAACCCCTTTTCTCTTGGTTCTGGTCCCCTGGACGCAGCTGAATAAGTTTTATTGACCCTCTGCGACTGGGCAGTGGGTTTTTCCGTTTCCAAAGCACAAGCCAAGTGGCGAGCCAGAGTGGCTCACACAGGTGCCCACTGCCACCGCCCCTGCATTGCACCCACCCCTCGCAGCCCAAGTCGCTGCGCTCCCTGGCGTCGGAACTTCCGCCCACTCCTTGGATCTTTCACAGTGTGTTCGCGGGCCCTCCCCTCCCCCAGAATTCTTCCTGGATGGCCTGGGCTCCCTCCAGGTCGGCTCCTGCTCCGACGTTGTGGTGGATCACGCCTCCAAGCTGAAGCTGCCCTGGACAGCCCGGGACCCGCGGGCGGAGACCTACGCTCGGTACCGCTACCCCGGCTCCCTGGAGCGCAGCCAGGTGGCCAAGCACCGCCTGCTGTTCTTCAAACACCGGCTGCAGTGCATGACCGCTGAGTGACTCCGCCCGTCAGTCCCTGGGCTTCCCTACTGCCAGGCTGTGCCTGTCTCCTGGCTCCCCTCAACACAGGCACCCAGGAATTTCGGACAAACCTTGCCCTCCCACAAGCCCTTCTCCCCAGTGACTCTCCCCACACCCTTAGGACTTAACGCGTCCCCTTTTTTCAGAACCGGATCTCTAAGAGGGGCTTGTCCTGGTGACACCTCCTCTTTCTGGGAGTGCCCAGAGGCCTGATGGAGCCATAACCTCCCCCACAGCCAGTGCCAACTCCTCCCCCTCCCCATTCTCAAGGGGCAGGAAACAGGGGGCCACTTTCCAAGTGCCAAAGAGCCCAGGGGGGACTCTATAAACCCCAACGTAGGGGGGGGCACTCCCCTCATTTCCTTAAGGACAGAGGTGGATGGGGGGAAGCTCCCCAACACAGAGTCACCCCTACACCTCCACCCTGGATCCAGGACCCTGTGCACCAACTCCAGCCTGCCCCCACAGAGACTAACTGTGACTCAGGAGCTGGCCCAGCGGGCTGTGAACACACATGGTGAAAGCCATTTTGAGCAGTGTCTCTGCAATGCTGTGGGCGTGGAGAGGAAGAGGGGGTAGTGGGGGTGCCTGGGCAGACGCCCAGACTCATTTCAAGGGACCCCATCAGTGTTCAGCCCCATTTTATTCAGTACTTTAAGAAGAAGGAGGGGGCGTGCAGGGGCCATGCCTCCTCACACACAGACGGGGGGGGGGGGGGGGGGGCCTTGGTGCTGTCAGCAACTGGCTCAGAGCCACACAGTGCAAATCTTCGGGCCAGTGAGTTCCTGGGGAACATAACAGGACAGATCAGGAACAGGTTCTGTACCCATAGCTTGGCCAGGGTTCCCTGGCTTCCACAGGGCCCTTGAATCCATTGATCTATTTCCTGGCCACCGCTTCCTCCTTGCTCTGCCTCCCCAAATCCTTACCTGGGGAGCTGCCCTCCCTGGGCCTGGCCCGGCACCTACTGGCCCCCTTACCAGTTTCTCCAGGGCGTAAGCAGCTGCATCCTGGACACTGACAAACAGCTGTTCTGTGGTCACTTGGTCCAGGAGGCCCGCCCGAGTCAGGGTCCCTAACACCGAGGCTGTGGTGGGGGGAGAGGTGTGTACACTAAGTCATTGCCCTCCCCAAGCACCAAGTCATTCCCCCTCTGTCCACACCACTCACCGCTACACTGAGCTAGGAGGAGATGGATGCCAGCCTTTTGACATCGGTGGGCAAGCTGTGGAAGCAAGGCAGAAGCGTTAGAGTCCAGTGCCAGCAGGCAGGAGGAAGAGGCTGAGAATGTCTTTCTCCTGCACCTGCCCTCTCACCTGTGCCACCTCCCTTGCTCCAGCAGCATCTACAAATGTTACACCACCGAAGTCTAGGATCGCCACTTTGACAGGCTCAGTCACTAAGGGAGAAGAGGGGGAGAAGCTGAGGTACCCAAATGCCTCCAGGCATCATGCCCAGATCTGCCTTCCTGCTCTCCCATCTTACCTGTACCAGGTATGCCCTCCAGCTTTGGAGCATCCTGTGAATGGAGAAGGACGGTCACCATCCCCAAGACCCAAGCACCCCTGCCTGAGCACAGAGGCCTCCTGCTCCTGAGTGGGCCACGATGCTGTGCCCAGATGCCCTCACCTTCTCTTCTTCTCCAAGCCCCAGGTGACTCTCCAGGCTGCGGCGAAACTGCCCACGAGTCCCAAAGTAGAGAGGTGTGGGGCAGCTCAGGATGCAGAGCCCTGGCACCTGGAGAAGCTAAGGGGGCAGGTGTCACAGGAGCCGCAGGCTCCAGGCTCCTCTTCTGCCTTGGCTGGGAGCCCCCGCACCTTGTGGCTCTCCTTGAGTGGCCTGTAGAGCTCCGTTCCCTCGGCAAGTCCAAGAGCCAGGCACTGCACCCTAGGAAGCAGCCAGGGTCAGTATCCCAGTCCAGCCTAGCCTGGTCCCCCTGTTCTCTCCCCTCATCTCTTCTCCGTACAACTCTGCACACCTCTGAGTACGACAGACCACAGTCATCATGGAGAAGACCACGCCCACAGCCAAGCCTAGGTCCACATTCAGGGCCACAACAGCCACCCACGTGACCATCCACACGGCCTGCAGGACATGGATGGGGGGTGGACTGTCCAGAACGAAGGCTGCAGTGGACAGGGACTGCCAGGATGCATCAAGGGGAGGGATGGCCCAGAACAAAGCCAGAGCATGAGCCAACCCAGTACCAGGGTTCGACCTTGTACCCATGGGGACATGCCAATTTTAAGGGGAGAGGGGTTCTGGTCCCCATCCTTTATACATGTCAGAGTAAAAGGGTATTAGGAGCAACCATGGGGTGGGCAGGGAGTGGTTGTGGAAGTTAAGAGCACAGCTGTCAAATTTAGGCTGGGGAGCGCCCGGGGTCATGCAGCTTCTCACAAAGTCCACGCGGCTGATGTGCCAGAGCTGGGGCAGTTCCTGCATCTGGAAGAACATCTGGCGCATGCTGGCAATGTTGATGCAAGCCAGGACAGCCTTGGGGGCAGATAAGGTGGGCTGACTCCCCCACCCCCACCCCAGCCACATCCTGGGGCACAGCTCTGTCCCAGGCAGGCCCATGCTGCCACTGCTGCCACCTCCCCCTCTGCTGCTTACCTTGGGTAGGTAGTAGAAGAAGGGCCCGAGCCACAGCAGCACAGACAGAACCACCGTGCAGGAAAAGAGGCCTGCCAGCTAAGAGGAGAGGGGTGGAAGCCAAGCAGGTGGGGAGCCCCCACCCCCAGGACAGGTTGCTCATCCTGCCTGCTGTGCCTCCTCTTCCTCAAGTCTCCAAGTCTCTCTTCCTCCAAGGTCTCCTCCCACGTACCTGTTTTTCACCCCCACAAGTCTCTTCTTGATTCCTGGCATTCAGCCCTGTCTGAATGTAGCTCAGGCTCCCACTTACTGTACCCCAGCTCCCATCAGAAGCCACTATGGGGTTACCCCAGAAGCAGGCTGACCCAATGCTTACGGGACCCAGCTAATAAGGGAAACAAAAAGAATTAGGGGGAGACTTTGATATGTAATATTTCTATTAAAAAAAAAACCCTCATCTTTGAGGGGGGAATAAACAGGGTTCTGTTTCCTGAGACAGGATCTTCATTTGGAGTGGTACCTGGGTGACCCTCAATTCTGAGTCCAGCTAAATCTGGCTGCAGCTGTGGCTTTCCGTTTCCCCTCCCTTCCAGACAGCCATTCTGTGGAAGGGCACAGCTGCAGGATCTTCCAGTCTTCCACCAGTCCTTGCCCCACCTCCCACCCCAGTCACCCACTGCTGCCCTAGCCTGGAAGCCGCAGGCTCTCCCCTCACCCACCTGTCAGCCTTCTCACCTGTGTATTCCCACCTGCGTCCACTAAGAGGCTGGTGGTGGCCAGCGTGGCCGAGTTGGGAAAGCAAGAGAAGAGGGAGGAAATGAGGTTGGAGACACCATGTGCCAAAAGCTCCTAGAAGAATGCCGTGAGATGAAAATGGAAGCAGGAGCATGGGGTGGGGTGGGGTGGGGGAGATGTCTCCTGAACGAGGTCAGGATACAAGGTCAAGGTCACACCTGGTTGGAGTCAATGGTGTAGTTATACTTGTCTGCGTAGATGGAGGCCAGGGAGGCGGACACAGCAAAGGTGACCAGTGCAATAGGCAATGAGTCGGCCAGAGTCCTGGGCAGCTCAGCAAGGTTGGGGAAGTGGGGTTGGGGAAATCTGCACAAGGAGGAAGCCACAATGAGAATGGATTGGCTGATGTAGGGAAGTAGGGAAGACCAAAAAAAAAAAAAAAATAGCAAGACAAGAAGAGGCATGGGATGGGAGAAAAATAAAAGTTGGTCTCTTACCCTCCAGGCAGCAACCCCACTATCTGAACATTGTATCTTGTATCCAGAGAAGAGGTGAAACAGAGAATCGTGGCCAGAAGCACCTAGAACAGAGTCCAAATTAGGGGCAGGGGAGAGGTGGGATCTCCACTAGCTTACAGGAACTAGAAGGCACAGGGCGTCCAAGAAGCTGACCACCACAGGGAAGGAGCACCACCCTGGGGAGGAAGGGTCATGGAGAGAGGGGCGGGGGGAAGGGGGAATAAGAGATCTCTATAGAGGCCATGGGAATCCAGAGGGCTGGCTGAGCTGAGCAAGGAAGGTGGCTGTAGAGACCTGGGATAATTATTTTGTCCCTGGTGGCCTCGGGAGAGACCTAGGCAAGGAAATCTACCACAGTCCAGGTAGAGGGTCGGGGTCGGCGCGACCGCCAGGGGCCGCTGTAGCCAAGAACAAGGCATCCTGAGAGGGCTGGAGCGAACCCGGCGAGAGGTGGGTGGGCACAGGGACCGGCTTCTGCCCGGGCGTGCGTGCGTTTCGGGGAGGAGGCCAGGGAAAGCTCGCAGCCGTGCCGCACGTCCGGCTGCCCAGGGCTCTGCGTTCCAGCAGGGGGCGGCTGCAGCCAGAGCCTGCAGCACCGGCTGGGTCTGCGCCAAGCTTGCGCTCCTCACCATAACGACTTCCCCGGGGATCGGGGTGGGCAGCCTGTCTCGGAACCGCACGTTCAATTCCTTGACCGGCACCAGCAGCGCCAAGCTGAGAGCCGAGATAGTCAGTTCGGCCGGACTGCTTCGGGGCAGCGCAGCGACGACGGCGGCCAGCGTCTGGGGGCAGGATGGTTGAGTGAGGGGGCGCTGGGGACCCAAGCCGGAGTCACCGCCGCCAGGCGAGATCCTCTCTTCCCACAGCCGGCAAGACTTTCACCTGCCTTCCACATGCCATCTGCCCGTCCCCTTCCTCCCTTTTCGTGTTTCCATCTTCCCCGCCATCGCTAGACACCTTCCCTGTTCTACCAGTCCCACCTTGAAGAGAGAGAAGCAGCCTATCTGGCGCGGGAGGGACAAGCCCAAAAGGCTAGGCAGCTGGGACACGAGCACGTGCAGGGCGGCCCCACTGGTCAGCGCCTTGACCACAGGTTCGGACAGAAAGGTGGCCAGGACACCCAGCTGCAGCGCGAACATCCCCAGCTGCGGGCGAGAAAGATGTGCACTCCCCAACGCGAGGAGACGCACACCTGCTGGTGGGGGCAGGAACCGTGCGCCAGCTTCCCGGCGCCCATCACCGCGTCGCTCTGGCGCCTCTGTCCCAACCCCTACCCCCGCCCCGTTTCTTTCCGGCCACCAGCTGTAGATCTCCCCAGACCCTGCCTCACCATCAACGCCCCGCTCCCGAAGGCCAAGGTCGACGCCGCCCCAACTCTCTGGGCGTCCAATTGCTCCCTCTCTGGTGCGCTCAGATTCCCCGCGAGCGGCTCAGGCACCAGGCGCTCCACCGCCGAGCCGGTCATGAGGCTGAGGACTGCAAAGGTTCCTGGAGCAAGTGGGGGAGGGAAGGGCAATGGGGAACACACGCAGAGCACCTGCTGCGATACCGACTGTAGGGTGACAGCTCAGGCTCTGCTGTGCTTGGGATTTCTCCGGATAAGGCTGCGGGAGGCTCAGAGCCCGCGGCTCCGTGGGAAGGCAGCAGGGGAGTGCGCCTGGACCAGTGAGGTTACCACGCCCTGCAAACGTCTCGGGGATTTCTTGAGAGGCACAGCTCAGCTACCCCTTGAAAAAGCCCCGAAGGCGTTCTTTTTCACCAAAACACACGCTGGGAGTTAGGAGGCACAACTCCCGTCGGCGCCCAACTCCGAGCATTGCCCAGATCAAGGTTTCTGGGGGTGGGACTGCTCTGTAGGGAAGAGGTGGGGGAGATGAAGGGAGCTAAATCCAGCTGAGTCGCTTCCCAGGTGAGAGGACCCGCGTCCGTCCCCACTACAGAAGAGGCAAGGAACGTTCCCAGTCACTCACCCGTGGACAAATGTCTCCCGGTGCCCAGCAAGCTGTATATGAGGACCGGGAAGAAAGAAGTGTACAGTCCGAACACAGGGGGTACCGAGGTCAGGAGGGCAAAGGCCATGCCTGGGGAAGAAGTGGAAGGAAAGATCTCCACTGCACTGCCACCCCCGCCCCAGCTTCCAGGGCCTGCCCCTCCTCCCGCTCCGAGAAGCTGGTTAGGTGAGGTGAAAGGGCCGCTAGATCAAGCCTCCTAAGGACACTGGGGGGTAAACGTGTCTCCGCGGGAGGTCCGAGGTCACAGAACCGCCGTGGCTGAGTGGTGGGGGAGGGCCCTCTCTCCCACTCATGACTCTCTCCGCTGTTCCCTGAGCCGGAACGGGTCCCAGACTTCTGGCAGCGTTGTGATGGATGAGAGGCAATGTGGGGGTGGGGGGCTGATGGGATCCCGCTGTCCTTACCCGAACTGGTCCTTCCTTCCTCCGCCAAGCCCCCAGCACACTCACGCCCAGCTTCCAAGCTCCCCCAAGCCACCGCTGCTGCCTCCTCCTCTCCCCGCCGCCCGCCCCCGGAAACCTTCCATAGTTTGGGCCCTCTGACAAGCTAGAGGAGTCTTTCTCACCCTGGGGTACGTGCACGACGCCCACGGTCACTCCGGCCACAGCATCCCCGAGCAGCCAGGCCCGCCAGCGGTACAGGGGCAGCCAGCGAAGCGGGGGAAGCCGCGCTAGCATCAGGCGCCACGCCCCCGGCCGGGAGCAAGCCCCAGCTCGCAGCCTCCACAGCCTGCATAGCCTTGGCAAGAGGGATTCTGCGGGCAGCTCTGGTTCCTGCTTGGCGCCCCCGAAGAGCTGCTGGAAGCGACTCTCCGTGAGAGGCTCCCTGAGCCTGGCACCCAGAGGGTACTTGGGATCAGAGGACTCTGACAGGCCAGGATAAGCTCCAGCACCCGGGAGCCCACTCATTGTGTTCTTGGCCACTTCCAACCCAGTCCTGGTCTTAAATACCTTGGGGGGAGGGGAGAGAGGGGGAGCTGGTAGAAGAGGAGTCCCGCCTCCACGGGGTCAGGTCCAATCGTGTGGCCAGGAGGGCATCCTCTCTTGGGGCCTGAGGCCAGGAGAGGGCTGAGGTTTGGAGACAGCCAGCCAGCCCGGGTTGGGCGTTTCCTCCCACACCATTGGCCTCATCTGATGGCTGGCCAGGGAGCCCAGCTGTGGGTAGGGATGGAGAGACAGACCCAAAGACAAGTGTCCCGAAACCCCACCCCAACATGTGCTCTCCTAAAGTCTTTGCCCTGCTCTTCACTGAGGGATCCTTGCCCCACCTACACTTTGGGCACAGTGAAGACTGGCTTGTCTCTGTCCACTGGTCCTTCCTGGACTGGGAACCCCCAACTCCTCATGGGGTTCAACTAGCCCCGAGAAAGCCCAGGGGTGGGGCTGCCTGCACAGTGTCCTCTGCCAAGCGGGAGGCAGTGCCAAAGTTGAGCAAGGGGTGATGGAGGGGCTCACAGCCCCACACCTCTGCAGGGAGTGACTGGGTCTCGTTGGGGCCAATATGAATGGATAGGACATTTTCTTTCTTAGGTGCCAGAGAAAACCAAAATAATATGCATTGCATTTAAATTCTAGTTGCTGGACCTTAGGCACTCAAAAAGAGATGTGTGGCTGAATTAAGGACAGAAGGGTACCCCAGCTGCCTCTGTACCCTGTGAGCCCTCAAGAAACACAAAGGTTCCAGGCTCTGGAATCTTGCTCCCCTCCTCCATGCACAGGAATCTCCAGCACTCCTCCCTGGCACCCCCTCCTTGACCCCAAAGCCTCAGGGTGGGGTACAGAGAGGGTGGGTCTCCCATCTTCAATTCCTCCTATTGTTCCCCAGAAGTCTTATCTGGGCCCTACGTCCTGTTGCCCCCCCTTGCAGATCCCTCCCCCCATTGTCAGCCCGGGGGACTGGGCCCACAGGGAGCCTGGAGCTGCTCCTCACCCTCCCCCCCAAGGAGCCTATTGTCCACTGAGGAAGTCCAAGGGCATGTGACAGAACCCAGGGGACAGGCAGTGGACATGGGGATGCACAAGGACCTGGATGTGCAGCCCTTCCCACCTGGCTCTCTCTGTCTCAAGAGTTGGCAGTGAAGACCTTACTGATGTTCACTTTGGAGTCTTGGCTTGAAGAATCCCCCAACTGCTCATATAGGCCAGCCCCACAGATGGAGAGCCAAAGCCGGGAGCGGCCAGTGGCCGGCAGGAGCCTTGCCACTGCCCCATCCTCCCCCTGTGGATGAAGGAAGCCTCAGAAAGTGAAGGTATACAGGGCAAACTGTGAGAATGGGAGGTTAAGCTACACTGGCCTTGCTGGTGGGGATCCCACAGAGGGTGGATTTGGAGGAGCCAAATGGAGGAAAGATTACAAGGGTGTGGACTTATTACAGGGACTGAGACTTGCCCAAACCATAGATGAGGAAACCCACAGCCCCCTTTTTTAAACACTTATTTATTTTTATTGGAAAGTCAGATATACAGAGAAGAAAAGAGAGAGAGGAAGGTCTTTTGTCCATTGATTCACTCCCCAAGTGACCACAATGGTTAGAGCTCAGCCTATCCGAAGCCAGAAGCCAGAAGCCTCTTCTGGGTCTCCAATGTGGGTGCAGGGTGCCAAGGCTTTTGGGGGCCATCCTCTATTACTTTCCCAGGTCACAGGCAGGGAGCTGGATGGGAAGTAGGGCTGCCGGGACATGTACCTCCACTCATGGGATGCCAATACGTGCAACGACATACCAGGGCCCTCCCTTTTTTTTTTTTAGATTTATTTATTTTTATGGAAAGGCAGATGTACAGAGAGGAGAGACAGAAAGATCTTCTATTTGCTGGGTTACTCCCCAAGTGGCCACAACAGCTGTAGCTAAGCCGATCCGAAGCCAGGAGCCAGGAGCTTCTTCTGGGTCTCCCATGTGGGTGCAGGGGCCCAAGGCCTTTGGCCATTCTTCACCATTTTCCCAAGCCATTAACAGGAGACTGAATGAGAAGTGGAGCAGCTGGGATTTAAATCAGCAGGTGCCCATACGGGATGTGGATACCACAGGTGGAGAATCAGTTTGCTGTGCTATGGAGCTGACGCCCAGAGCCTCAACTTAAAAAAAAAAAAAAGATTTATTTTTTTTTTATTGCAAAGTCAGATATACAGAGAGGAAGAGAGACAATGAGGAAGATCTTCTGTCCGATGGTCCAAGTGACCATCATGCTCAATGCTGTTCCAATCTGAAGCCAGGAGCCAGGAACTTCTTCCAGGTCTCCCACGTGGATGCAGGGTCCCAAAGCTTTGGGCCGTCCTGGACTGCTTTCCCAGGCCACAAGCAGGGAGCTGGATGGGAAGTGGAGCTGCCAGGATTAGAACCGGTGCCCATATGGGATCCCGATGTGTTCAAAGCGAGGACTTTAGCTGCTAGGCCACGGCGCCAGGCCCGAGAGCCTCATCTTGTATCTTACATTCTGTGATCCCTCTGCTCTCAATGGCTGAGCCCAGCTGAATTCATCTACTCCATCCCAATGCACCCTCCCAACAGCCTTCCTCCCTCTGCCAGGACAGTGGCCTCAGTGATATCACAAAACCTTTTATTCTCAGAAAACAGGGGGGAAAAAAATCAAACCAGGAGCATCTATCTGGTTCTTGCCCCATTCCCCCCACCCCCCCATAACCTCCTTCTTGGGAGACTATGATGCATGCATAGGGGTGGGAGCCAAAGGATCTCCTGGTTCTTGGGCAGAAAGAAGTCCTTTGTGGTCTAGGTTCTCTTCCCCAAGCTGTTGTCATCATTTCCCAGCCTCATCCGCCCTCCATGCACATCAAAGAGCTATGGCTTGCACAGAGCAACCTCTGTCGTTGCCACAGCCGCTGCAGACTGGAGGGCCCTGCGTTCCTGGGAGCTGGGAGCTGAGTGAGCGCCACCTCGTGGCTTTCACCGCTTACAGCTCATCTTCATCCAGCTTGGCAAGTCTGGCCAGGCCAGGAGGGGTAGGAGGAACTGGAGGGCCGGGGGGAGGGTCCGGAGGAGCCCTGGGGACGTCCTGGAGTTCCTGCAGCAAGTCAAGTCACAGGGTAAAAACAGGTGCGCAACACACCCTCGCCCCTCTCCTTCCAGCCTGCACCTTTAGCCAAGCCCTTCCTATCTGTGGTCAGATTAGCTGAGATCCCCAGCCTCTTCCAGAGTTATAGAGAAGGGATAAAAAGGAAGGCGGTGGAAGGTTGACGAAGGGGTGCCTTGGGGCCCAGCAGGACTAGAGCGAGCACCCTCCCACACTTGGCCCCTCCAAGCGTCCTACCTGTGTTTCTAGGGTCAGGGGGGCTCTGGCTGCCTCACCCTTGGGCAGCAGCAGGGAAGGGAGAGAGCCGTTGATGGGCGCACGTGGGCCAACCTGGGCCTGCTCACCAGGCCGACCTCTCCCGGGGCTCCCCATGCCAGGGCCTCCTGGCCGCCCCAGGCTATTGGTCTGGCTCTCCCGTCTCTGGTACTCGATGGGTGACTGCAATGCTGGGCAATGCCAGGGAGAGAAGGTAGGTTATGGCAGGCACTGCCCTGTTCCCTCTGTGCTCTGTTTGTACCAAGCTTCCCTCCTGCCCCCACTCTCCCAAGGACTATGGGGTTACTGGAAGCTGCCCAGGGACTTTAGGGGATTCTGAGAGGCCAGGATCAGAGGGCAGGCATTGGAGACAAGAGGTCCAAGGGTTGGAAGAGAAAGGAAGGGGCGGCGGGGGGCTTCACCATTAAGAAAGTCCCGCTGGCTTTCCAGGATTTGTGCCACTTGCTTGATCCAGGCCTGACTGACCGCAGGCTCTGCCGTCTGTAGCACATAACGCTGGATTCCGCCCTCGGGCCCTCTGGAGGTCAACGCGAAGCGGCAAGGGTCACCTTGGAGGTTCCCCTCCAGGCCCAGGCAGCTCACCTGAATTGGCAGACAGGAGACAGTGGCCTTCTCTGGCTCCCAGTCCCTGCGACCAAACCAAGAGCTAGGTGAGGCACCACGCCCTCACGAACCGTCCTGCCCCCTCGTGGAACCCACCTTAATGCTGTTCTTATAAACGTATCCTGGTTGTGTTCCTCCTCGCCCACCTCCTCCCAGGGCCTCGCTGAAGATGACAATTTGCTCGAAGAGGAAGACGCGCCTCTCACGACCCCGGGCGGAGAGTAGCCCTCCAGCCTCAGGTTCTGTGACCCAGAATGTATCCTGACCCAAGAGCTTGCCCTGAGCGGTCAGCTTGCCCTAGAACCCAAAGACGCAACCCCTGAGAATGAACCAGAGGGGAATGAACCAGCTTACTGCACCCTGGTCCCTCCCTGCCAGGCCCAACCACCCTCAGGGACTGCCTTGAGGGAAGAGCTAGCCCACTCCACAGGCACCTTCAGGGCGCTAGGACCAGGGCAGAAGGTACCAGAGTACCAGGCTCCTACCCCAGCTCCATACCTCGAAGCCCCGCAGCCTGCCCAAGGTCATCATGTCATTGCAGCGCTTGGGCACGAAGCACATGACCTCCACAGCTTGCTGATAAGGGGCAGGTGAGAGGGGTGCGTGGTGGGGCAGAAAGAATCACGAGTGGGAAAGAGTTCTCCTCTTTAGGCTTCTCCAGTCTGCCTCCACTCCCCACCCCTCAGGAGCTCAGACAGGCAAATCCCAGGGGGCTAAGGAAGCCTGAGATGCCAAGAGGACACTCAGGTGTCCATGATGACCTGGAAGTGGGGGAGGGGCGGGCCCTCACCTCTAGCTCTTCAGTAGCCATCCCAGCCCTGCTGTAATACTTGAGAAAATCCTGAGACATGGAGAAGAACTGCTTAGGGGGCGAGGAGACCATCCTCAGGCACTCCTCATCCGCCTACACGCACCAGCACACATGTGAGGACCCCCCCCCACTGAGGAAGTCTGGGGGAGCAGGTGGCCCGACCTTGAGCAGCAGCTGATATTTCATGATCCGCTGCACGGGTTTGATGAGGAGGTCGTTGAGCTGCAGCCGATGCCCCAACTGCTGTCGGAGCTCCTGCCCACAGGGACAGAGTGGTCAGGTGGCCTGGAGCAGCCTGCTCTGGTCAATTCTGTCCTCCTACAGCACACTTAGACACTGACCTCAAAGTAGCTGTCCCCAAACTCTGACACCACATGCTCTGACTTGGGCTTGTTCTGACAATACACCACGTACATATGCAGCCGACGTTCCTACCAGGAGTAAAGGCCCAGGGTAAAGTAAGATAGAGCCCAAGGCCAAGCCCCGCCCCTCCTGGGCACCACGCCCCCAGGCCTCACGTGTTTGATGAATAGCTGAGCCAGCCAATCAGGATCCTTTAAGCACCGCTGTAGCTCCTGCAGGAAATAGCTGCAGGAGTCAATGGAAAGGCAGGTGAAATACAGTTTGGAGCCCTTACCCTTCTCTGAGTCCCCAGTTCTGGACAATGCCCTCCAATGGAGCTCCCTGTAGAACTACTGCAAATATCCCTTAGTTCACATGGGGAGACAACCAGACCCATGCCCGCACAGCCCTGACACTCAAGGATGCCTCTGCCACTCACTCTCGGTGCCACTCGTAAATCTGCTGGATGTTCCCGAACACAATCCTGTCCCGGCCACGAAGATTCTCAGGCACCCCCTGAGTTGCCATGGTGGCCATGTAGCCCTATGGGAAGATTGCAATGGGGGCCTGAACAAGGGTGGCCCCAGGCCCGCTGGAGAGAGAGGACTGAGACAGTGGGAGCCATGGCTGCTCTCTGACATAGCCACTGTGGGAGGGAAGGGCTGGGCAGACCAGGGCTGGAGAGAGGTGGAAGGAGCTACCTCCACAACATGCCCCAAGTCCTCCACGTACATTTTCTCTGTTTCTACCAGTTCACTCAGGACGTACCTAGGAAGGTAGAGCAGGAGTGGGTCCGCATTTCAGAGCCTGGGCACATGGGGGGTTGAGCTCCTTCCTCCCTCCTGGACTGGATGCCCCCCGGCCCCCTCTCCACCCCAGAGGGACTTTCCCCCAGCCTGCGAGGAACCGCCATCTGACATGTGTGTTTCTAGAGCAGTGGTCCAGATGCTTACATGCTCCTTTCCAGGGCCGCCTTCTTCTGTTCTTCCTCACTCTCAGGTACTTGAGATAGAGCCTCCTCTTCTGGGGGAGTCTCCTCTTTAGAGGGCTGCCAGGATAGTACATGCTAGAATAATCCCCCCCACTCACGGACTTTCCTCTTGGCTGGGGCGGGGGAGCTGCCCCAGGCTCATCTCTTCACACCTGTGTCTGATCTCCAGGACCTTCTAGTAAGGTGGTCAGTAAGGTTAATTCTGGCAGCTCTTCTGTGGCTCGAGTTGGCTCAGGCATCCAGTTCTGAGAAGGGATGGGGAAGGAGGGTCAAAAGGCAGAGAGGTCAAGGAGAGGACCTGGGTCTCTCTCCTACCTGCTTCTGGAACATGCCCTGCTCACCTTGCATGGTCCCACCTGACTCCCATCTGCCTCTGGGTCCACATTAATACAGTGTTTGGAATGATCCAACCATCTCCTCAGGCCACTGACTGGTGCTGGAGGACCCGGGGAGCAGGGTCCAGAGCTCAGGCCTGAGCTGGCGCCCGAAGGCCCAGGCAGACCCGAGGCAGCAGAAGCTGATATACTCCCCTCACTGCCGGCAATGGAGTAAGATTCTGGCAAGAGGGGGAAAAAAAAAAAAGAAAAGAAAGGAGGTGGTAGACATTGTCCCAGCTCCAGTCTAAGGGTCCCCTCTCGTCCACAGCCCACTTTGTGGTTGGCCAGAACAGAAAATACCATCAAGGTGGTTCCCCAGCAGCTGACACCCCAGGCCTAGAGCACCCCTACCAGTGACTCGCAGAAGGTTCCCCAAATTCGGAGCACAGCTCAGATATGGGGGTGGGGGCAGCCATCTGGACAGACACTGGAAGCTAAGGGGTGGCCATCTGCTCTCCTACACCCTCCCCTGCCACTGAGTACAGACCATTCTCCAGGAAAGGGTGGAGGGGAGCTAAGAGTCCATATGCCACCACCCCCCAAGACCCCTCCCGCACCAGCTTCAGTAATCACTATGAAAACCAAAAAGGTCTGCAGCCCATTCCCCCAACACCATAAACTCCACAGGAGGAGGCAACTGTGGCCAGCTCATCCCGGTTATTGGATTTGGCCTGGGCAGGGGTCGCTCAGGTGCGATTGGGGTCCTTAGGAAGTGTCCCCTGAGCCCTTTTGGCCACAGCTTCTCAGTAGATGGGGTACCTGGTTTTAGGCCTCAGGGGATCGTGGGTGGGTTTCCTCCTATCTGATTAATTAAGGGCAGGAGCTCAGAGCCTCCTGCCCCCTTCCCCAGTTTCCTTAGTTGGAAGTAATAGAAATCTGGAGACAGAAGGGACCTTAAGAGCATCTGTCAAGTCACTTTCCTGGAAAACACAAGTCCAGTCTCCTGTCCTAAATCCCTAGAATCCGCAAACGGATGCCCTGGTCCCGAGCCCGCCCCCCACTCAGCATTGCCACTTTGCACTCACCACGTCCCCCCCGGGCGAGGCAGCAGCCGCATTTCGCCAGCACTTTTCGGATCACACGGGGACAGGCACAGCGACCCCCCTTGTGTCCCCCCCGCATGGCGCCCGGGCCCCCCCGCGTCCCCCACCCGGGCCGGCCATGCAGGGGGAATCACGGGGGGGCGGGGCGGGGATGGCGCAGGGCGCACACCCCCCCTCCCTCCTACCCGGGTCCAGGCTGGGGGAGGGGGGGAACGAGGGGACGGCGAGGGGGCGTCCACGGGTGGACGAAAGTCTGGTCTGCAGGAGAGCTGGTGGGCTCCTGGAGAGAGAGGGCGGCGCGGGCTGGGCCGCCGAGCTGGGCGGAGAGGGTTTCCGGAACCCTGTGGGTGCGGGGACCCAGAGTCCAGATGTCCAGCTGGGGGGTGGGTTGGATGGGGACAGGGGAGGTCGGGCCGGGATGCGGCAGCCGCTCCAGCTCCGTCTCCGGCTTCGGGTTGGGGGTGGCTCTCGGCCCGGGCGGGGGCCGACTCCCCGAGCCACTGGTGCTGCGCGGGGCCGCCGGATCGCGAGCCGAATCACAGGCCGGGCCGCGGGGCCGCTGCGGGGAGGGGCCTCGGCGGCCCGGCTCCGCCTCTCGGCAGCGTCCCACACCCCGCCAGCCCGCCCGCGCGGGGTTCCCGCCCCCACCCCAGGCACCACCACGTTCCCACTCCACGTCCCCAGCATCTCAGCCCCTCCTCCGGGGCCTGAGCCGCCCCAGGCCCCCGCCCTCCGGCAGCTCGGCTGTAGGGGGAGGGGGTACGACTGACAGCGGCTCAGGGAGAGGGGAGGGGGGAGGGGGAGGCCGGCCAGGGTCGCCCCTTCTGCGTCTGTAGTGGAGAAGGACTAGGTAGCGATGGGGCCTTGGCCTGCGCCCAGACGTCCTGGGGTTGTGACTGGGCCCGGGGCGCGCGGGCGAGGAGGACCAGGCCCCTACCAAGTGATGCATGCGTGGATGGGGAGCTCTTTGTAGGAAACCCAAGCCAGGTGCCGCCCTCCGGCCGGCTAGACCCTTTTCTCCGCGCCCCGGGACTGCAGCTAAGAGTAATCACCAATTAAGGCGAAGTCCCGAGTCAGCCTGGGCTGGCGGAGGGCCAGGGGTGGGGCGCGGGGACACTCCGCCTGCAGGGGGCTTGGGGACGGCTGAGGTGAGGAGACACGCCTCGACCCGAGGGCGACGAGCTCCTGGAGGTCTCTGCGTTTATACGGGTCTCATGCAAATAAACTGCCAACCTTTATGCTAATAGGGACGGAATATTTTTGAATTCGCCACTTGGCGAAGCACTCCGAACTATACCCCACCCCAGCCAGCAAGGACCTCACCTTCGCGCTCCCCTCTCGGATCCCCCTCTCCACAATTATCCTCTGACCCGATGCAGCTCGGCCCGTGCGGGCTTCTCTCGCGGGGCTGAGGGGACAGAAACCGCTTGAGGACGCCACCCTCCCGCGCAGCCTTGACCTCCCCTCCGCACCCACCTCTTCCCTCCTGTCAAAATTCACATTGTTAGAAAAGGGTCGCCCCAGACGTGGCCGTGGACCCTCATTAGGAACGGCATCCGTTGCTGCAACTGTTCTACAGAACTCTAGTTTGCAAGTAAACTGAGTAGTGGGGTGCCGCGTTCCTAAGGGCCCCCCTTAAAACCACCCCCACCCCCGCCAACCCGCAGTAACCCCCACGTTCTTACCCCCTCCTGCCCCGGTACGGCGCATGCGCGCAGCATGCCCCCCATGACCCCCAGTATCCGGTCAGTGCGGCCAGGGGCGGGGCGGTCTGGGGGCTTCATGCTGGACCCCTACTCCGCTCCAAGTTTCAGGGCCGAGGGGGCACGGAAGCTGGGGGGTTTCGAGGCCTGCGTGCGTCCAGGGAGTTGCTGCTGCTGCTGCCGAATCCGCCCCCTGCCCGGCTCCGCCCCCGCTACCACCCCAGCCAAACTTTGCAAAAGGGGGTAGGGTTGATCCTGTCTCTACAACCATAGTTCAACAACAAACAAACCCCTCCGGATCCTGACTCCAGCATGGGAGCGTGCTGCCCCGAGGCTCGGCAGTGTTCCCCACAGAGCCCATACCATGCACCGTGCTTCTCTTCCACACCTCGCACCTCCGGAGGCACAGGCAGCAGGAAGGCACCCCCTCCTCCAGGGATTCCCTAGGCACCCCCACCCTGCAAGAGTCCCCTCCCCGTAAGCCCCGCCCCCTCCCTTGCAGGGAACACAATGGGTGTGGCGTGGAGAGTTGCATATTTTACTTTTATTTTTATTAAATTAAAAGCTACAGTCTGGTGGCGATTCCAGAACAGGGTTTAACGAGGCTCCTTATGGGGGGTGGGAAGGTGTCAGAAAAGAGCGAGGGAAAGAGACTGACAGACAGACACAAGAGAGAAAGGTGGGAGAACTGTATCTGATGAACACACGCACACACACAGCTGGCTCCATGGAGCGGAGGGGCTCGCTCCCTCTGCCTCCAGAGGTGGGAGGCTGAATTCCGGAGACCCTCCCCTCCCCACCCTACCCAAGTCCTTTCTCAGTTTAGTCACTGGAACACAGCACATATCCGAAGCAGCCCAGGGCACTGGGGGGCAGGGGACAGTGTGGGGATATTGGGGAGTATGTACAGGGGGACCAGCCACTGCCAGCAGGGAGCAGCTCACGGGGCACTGAAGCGCTTGACCAGTAGGGGACAAGGCAAGGGACAGACCCTCTCCTTCTGAGTTCCCTCCCCAGTCAGACAGGCCCCCTACTTGTGTGTGTGGTGGAGGAGGGCTTGGAGGGGGGACAGGAGGAGAACAGAAGCTTCCAGTGGGTCCTAGCAGAGGACGGCAGGGGCCTTGGCAAAGTTGGGGGAAAGGTGTCCTTCAGTCATCTGTGATACCCTTGGCTCTCAATTCCTCTTGCACACGAGTCAGGTAGGTGGGGTCCGGGTAGCCAAACCTGGGGACAAAGAGAAATGAAGACTAGGGTTAGCTGCTTGGACTTGCTCCTCTGTCCCTTTATGTGCACCCTTCATTCCAGGTGTCCCAAGAGAGGCACCCCCAAGGAAGCACTCCCAAATCCAAGGTAACAGCCCAAGTTGGCTCTTTTTGTTTTGTTCCATTTTGTACAGCTTAAGTTGGGTTCATGGGGACCAGGTTGAAAGGAAGAGAAACAGATGGAAGAGATGGTGGGATGCTTTAGGGCTGGTCCTGTCTGGTGAGGGGGACTCTCAGGGGGGAGGTGGAGAGGGAGGAATCAAGGAAGAGGACATAAAGTGGTGCCGCACAGCTGGGGTCCCCCTGTGCAGCTGGTCTTGTGGTGGATGTCGTTCCAGGTGATGACATTCGGTCTCCCTGTAGTCATGGACGTGCCAATGGTGAAGGTAAGACGCTGGTCAAACGCCTTCCGGAACAGGGTCAGCACCTTGTTGCCCTCGGGGCAGTCTGGGAGGTAGGCCACCCGTGTGGTGCCAGGATATCGAACTCCTGGGTTGGGGTGTTCAGCCTGTAGGGAAGGGATGGGGGAAGTAGCACGGACCATGAGCAGCTGGGCATCCTCAGAGGGCCGGAAGCCAACCAGGGCCCCATCCAGACAGGACAGCATCCAGCTGCCAGCCTTCCAGGTAACCTCATGCCTAAAAGAGGGTCTGTGGGCTGTCATGCCTAAAAGAGGTGTCTCTGGAATCAATGGAGCAATCAAAGGATTTCCCACAGTTTTGGGAAGTAGATGGATATTGCTGTCTGGATAGCCACAGGGGAAGGCTCATAATAACCTCTTTCAGCCCTCCCTACTCCACCTACAGAACTCCCAGGGCTTCTGCCCATGCCTGGCTTGTCCACCCTAGCTTTACTCTCCTTCCAAGCCTCCTTTCCCTCTGCACGCCAGAAATGGACACTCCTCTTTGTACAGCAGGAAAACATACCTGTAATGTCCTTGACCACTCCCATTTCTATCTTCTATCATCATCAAACTTCTACTCTCCCATAAAGCCCAAGCAGAGTAACAGCTCTATTCTGTTGAGCAAGCTCCTTCCTGTTGAGCTTCACCTACACCAGAGCCACCATCTTCACAGAATGTACCTCTGCCAAGGTCACAATAGTAGGCAAATCCTTTTCACACCTGCTACTCATGTGTGCCTTGGGAGTGGGTGGGATGGGGAGAACAGGAGCTTGAAAGGGACCTCCTAGCTCCAGGCATCGGGCAGGAAAGCATAGTGCAAGGTGTCTAAGAAACATATTCACCCCCACCCAGCTTCACTAGGTCAGAGAATGAGCTTGGGAAAAATCAAAAGGTAAGGGCAAGGCCATAGTCTTCTTACCCCCTGGACACCGGGCGGGAAGACGTACTGGATGACAATGGTGCCGTACTTCTCATAGCTGGGCAGCAGGAGGGTGGCATCCTTGGAGACCAGCATCCGCCCGTTCTGGGGCTGGTTGCCCACAAGCTGCCCATAGAAGCGGCCACACATGGGACAGGCCTTCTTCACCTGCAGGGCGCGAGTGATGCAGCCCTCGCAGAATGAGTGCCGGCACTTCTCCAGTGTCTTGGCATTCTGGATTTCCCCCAGACAGATGGGGCAGGTGCTCTCTTGCTCTTCGGCCTCCTCCCGAAGGCGGGGAGGGAGAGGAGGGGGCAACGGGGGAGGCGGAGGGGGTAGCCCCCGGGCTCCTGGGGGCAAGAGTGGTGCAGCACGGAGAGGGGGTGGGCCTGGGCGATGCAGCTCGGGGTGCTCCCCTCCACCCCCCAGGGCCAGGCAGCCCATCAGCTCCCCCTGCCTCTGAGCTTTCTTCAGCTCTTTCTCCGCCTCCTTCAGCAGCCCTTTGAGAGCTTTCCGGGCTAGGTAGAGGCTGTTGGGAGGGGCTGGGGGCGGGCCCTGTAGGGAAAGCTGGAGGACATAGATGTCTGAAGTCTCGCCGTCTATAAGGATGGACACACGGTGCTCCTCCCGCAGCCGGGCCAGCCGGGCCGGGGTCTCCTTGCTCAGGAAGTCCCACACAGGCTTGGAGACAGTCACTTTGTTCTTGCAGGTGCCTCCGCAGGCTGCCATTCTGGACAGGACGAACGACACTGCCCCCAGGGTGAAAGGGACTCAGGGTGGGGGGGTTCCCACATGACCCACACCGACACCTCCTACTTCAGGGCTCCTTCCAAACCCTCTGTTACCCACCAGCCTTCAACCTCTCCACTAAACCTTACTTTCTATCCCTTCTTGCTCCCAAACCCCTTCCCCTTCCTGCCCAGGGATTGCAACAAAGTTGCCCCAACTCTTAGGACCTAAGGCAAGCCTGGATCTGGATTCCTCTTCCTTTCCCATTACACAGAATGGGGAAGACAGATACTTTGGCCCCTCCCCCCTTTTGCTCACTTTGATCCTGAGGAGCTTAGAATCGGCATGCAGGCTCACTGTCTTCTGCTCTCTACTTGTAGGTTGTGTGACCTGATGGGGTGGAAGGAAGAGGAGAAAAAGTGAGTGGCCCCTTCCCCTAATCTCTGCAGGTCCAGCCCAGGAACTGGGTTACCCAGAACACACAGGATGGAAGAGAGCCAGTTAAGAATGAAAGCTGGGGTTCCTATGGTGGGGGGCAGGTGCCTGGAAAGCCAAGGAAGATGACAGCAAGTAGAAGCCCCTCTGTCTCCACACTCAGCTGACTAGGACTGGGGGCAGGGGTGGGTGGGTGGTAAAGGGTTGTGATAGCAACCTTCCTCACCACCAGCCCAGAAACAAAACTTCCCCCAGTCCCTCTCCTCCCCTGCAGAAATCCATCCCCAGCTGTGTCCCAGGTTGCAAGAGGCCCTGTGACTTGCTAACCTTCCGCTTTTCTGCCCCAGCTCTGGGGCTCCCCCAAAAGCCCAGGGAGAGGTCAAGGCAAGCCACAGCACAGGTCCTCAGAGCTCTTTCTTGCCAGGGATGGACAGGAGTCTTTCCTGTGCTCCCCCAACTCCTTGCCCTGCTCTGAACCCTGAGAATTTTGCCCTGATGCCAGGGAGCCTTATTTGAACGCGGGCTCAGTCCCCTCAGCAGAAGTTAGGGATGTACTGGAAGTGCCAGCAGCTGCTGCAGTCACAAAGTTCTCATTGCCACCATTTACACCCCGCACGCGGAGCAGTCCTGCATGCCAGCATCTTGGACTGCATTAGGGAGGGGCAGGACTCATTCAGGGGGTGCAGTGGCCAGAGTGGTCTAAGGTCTCCCCTGTCTTGTCACTGGGCTATCTTCACCACACCTCCAAATGCACCTCCACGAGAAAGAGGGGCCAAATGACCTTAATTTCTTGTTCGGATCCAAAAAGAAACAGTCGTGCATTTGTGCCTCCATCCCAGTCAGCTCAAGGCCCCATAGACCCCCAGCTTCAGCAAGTGGCACTGGACCCTCTGAGTCTCTCCCCTCCCACCTCTGATGGTACACCTCCTTCCCCACTGTGCAGAGACCCCAGGACCTAGGTGTCCTGGCTCTAACTCCTGGCTGGCACAGACCAGGGAGGCGGGGCCACAGCCCTGGCTGGGTCTGTGATTCCTGTGGGGCATCCAGGCCAGACTCAGACCCAGGCCATGTCACCTGGTAGAGGACGAAGGCAGGGACAACGGGGAAGGGCATGAAAGAAGGGTCCCTGGAGGCATCCACTCTGGCAGCTTCCCCTCCCCCCTCCCATAACATCCTCCAAAACCAGACCCAGAGCCAACTCCCCACATCCCCTAATTCGCTGAAGCCCCTAGAGCCTCACCACCAGGTGGGAATGCATGTCCCCCCGATCGCGGCCCTCAGAACCCCTAAATGGAGGCCGGGGCGGAGAATGACAGAAAGATGAAGGACCAGGACACCAAGAGGTGACCCTGGCGCGAAGCGTGGGGGGAGGGGTAAGAGAGGAGTGGGAGGGGGAGCAGAGGGCACACAGGGGCCGCGAGCGGGGGGCCGGGGGGCGCACAGTGTGTGTCGGGGGCGCCGGGCTTACCTACCTCTCGTCAGCGCCGCCATTGCCGGTCACATGACTGAGGCTGTTGCTGGGATGACGGTCCGGGCCTTAGCAACAAGGGGGTGGGGGTGGGGGCAGACCCCAAGAAGTGGGCTGGGGGTGTTGCAGGGATGCAGTGAGGGATTAAGGAGGAGGGAGGATAGTACCTTCTCGTCCCTCACAGGTGATGATCACCGTTTGCCTTGACCCTGGCTATGCGGGAGTTCCTGCCCTTCCGCTCCAAAACAAAAATGGAGGCGCCGTCCCAGGCTTGGAGGGAGGGAGCGAGGGAGAGGGTGGCGTCATGTAAGTGAGGGTAGGAGGTTAAATCCCTTGGAGACGCCACCCTTTTCGCTCCCCTGCTATCCTTTCCCAGCCAGCTGCGTGGCAGCTTCAGGGAGCCTGGAGGTGGAGGGGCTGAGGCGTGCTGACTAGGGGCGGGAGGGGCAGGCTCTGCAAATCCTTCTGCTTTAGGGCCTTTGAGGAACAACGTGGGATGTGGAGAGGCATAGTAAAGAGCAAAGCATTGGTTCTTAAAAAAATTTTAAAAACAAACAAAAAACACTAGCTCTTTCCCAAGCTGTTTCCGTGCACCCCTCTCCTCCTGGGCCCATACTGGGTTACCTTGGGATCTCTCCCCTACAACTTGCTCCTACACAAGTGCCTGTCCACAAACAGGGATACTCAGGGTGGTGCAGAATGGGCCAAGTATTTTGTTTTTCAAATGACTTCCTGAGGGGGAGATGGTGGTGTCCTCAAATGTGTGGTCCCAATACAGTTAAAAACTGAAAGAAATGAAGAAAACAAAAAACAAAAACCAGCTCTGCTCTGCTTCCCACATCAGGCAGTCTCCACCCCCATCCAGCTCTCTTCCCTGGGGTCACATCAAACTAGGTTTTTCCAGCAAGCAAAGACCTTGGCCAAGATGCACAGACTCTGACTGGCAACAGCCCCTACTCAGCCAGCCCTGTTCCACTTCCCACTCTGGACTGGAGAGCCGGTCACTTTTTCTGTGGCTTTCCCAGGACCCTATGGTACTGTGCCTGCCCTTCAGCCCTGAGAGCTTTCCCAGGAAGCCTGGAAGAACGCTAGATCTCTCTCCTTTTAGCTGCTGAGGGAAGAAACCTACTCACCTTTCAAGCGGTGGCGCTGAGCAGCCCTGCAAAGTGGAAGGGCCACTGACGCCCTCATTCATGGCCCCCATGACACCCCATTCCCACAGAGCTTGTGACTATTATTCATTTCTCTGCAACCCCAGCATCACCTTTGACATTCACAGCCCTCTGTGTAGACACATGTCCTTGGTGGGGGGTCCCATGCCTTTCTGTACCCCTAAATACAGGCTTCCTCAGAAAAGGTTTTTATTATTATTAAAAAAGACAATTCTGTGAAGAAAGTGAATAATTTATTTTCTGTATTGGAACAGTAATAGAAATACATGTCTTTTTCTTATTATTAAAACAAAAAGATGGAATAAGAAGCATCAAATGAAGACCACACTGCCCATGATACATCAGCCACATGGGCGGAAAACCCACTTCCAAAGGATTATGGCTGCTGGTGTCCCAGAGTTTTATTGCATTTGACAGGGCAAAGGTAGCTGGCTGGAATGAAAGCAGGCCATGAGGGCCCTGACAGAGTGGCACTCGAGAGGCACCAACTCTAACTAGGGACATCTCTTGCTACTTCCATTGAAGATGAAGAGAAGCGGCTTCTTCTATATGACCTCATGACTTCTTATGAAACAAGGCCCAGTCCCAGGCAGACACAGAGAAAGCAGCTTCACAGACCCATGGGCCAGCTGCTGCCACCTGTCCGTGTTCACAGCGGTTGGTCCCCACACCCCAGCGTTGGGCTTCCAAAGCTGCCACTAGCTCCTGATGCCAGCTTCCCAACTAAAGCAGACCCTAGGAATCCATGGCAATGGCTCAAGTGATTGGGTTCCTGCCACTCCAAAGGGAGACTCAGATCGAGAGCCCAGCTCCCAGTTGCAGTGGTGACCTGTTGTAGGCATTTGGGGACACGAATCAGTGGATAGGGACTCTTATCTCTCAAATTAAAAAAATAAATAAAAAATTTTAATGTGGATGCCTGCAAGGGAATAGATAATATGAAGAACAGGTGCTTCGACTCCGAAGGCACTGGGAGAGGGGCGGACAGTCTCTCTGTCAAGGTCCTCTATGTGCTGCACCCATCATGCATTTGCAGAGGCTTGGGGACTGAGTTATGGCTCTGACTCGTCTCTGGGGGTGGAGCGTGAGGATGACAAACACGGCCATCTGTCCCCTGGGAGACACAGTAGCAGCATGAGACAGGACAGAAAAAAAAAAAAACAGAATAACAAGCCCAACTGGAGAAGGAGCTTGAGAAGGGGTGAGGGAAGGAAGTGTGTAAGGAATAAACATCCAGGAAGAGGGTGAGCTTCCCATCCTCAGGTCCTCCATCCTCTCAGGAGGCCCATGTGGAGCCCCTCCTCTGCTGGCAATAAAGCTTGGCCATGGCTGCGGAGCCGAAGAAGCCACAGCACAGGGGACACCCCGTCTCCAGGGCCAGCCACGATCCGTGAGCCACCACACCAGGCTCCAGACCTGGCCAGTGGTCCAACGAAGAGTTCCAGCCCCAAGAGGGCTGTGAAGCTGTGGTAAAGGGCAGCAACAGTCACACACCTTCACCCAGGGGTGAAGCTATGGGTCCCCTCTGGCTTCCACATGGGCGGGGGCCCAAGTGAAGTGAGAGAAGAGGAGGTTGGAGAGTAGTCAGTCCTACAAAGAGACCCTCTCCAACCGCCCGCATCACCACAGGAGGGAGTCCTTTTGGGGACCACCTCTGGGAGTGCCAGTCTGCAGACAGCCTTCCACCCTGCCCAGTGCCGTGCAAGCCCAGAGACAGTCCGCTGACATGAGTGCATGCCTGCGCCCATGTCTGTAGTGTCTTCAGAGTGCTCTGGCCCAGGGCCTACCAGGAGGGAAGCACACCTCAGCAAGTTCTGTAACGTGATCAACGCAATTCAGACACTCTTGAGTTCATCCCGCACTGCAAAGGGCATCCAGAGTCACTGCTTGAGTCAGGGTCCATCTGTCCAGTCAGGTCCTGAAGATGACAAACAACCCCCTGCCCCCAGCTCCTCCTATTTCATGGAGACAATAGGATATTTTACAAAGATCAAGGCACTTGGGAGAGGCGACACTAACATTCTAATAATGCAAGCGGACTTGGTGCGAGGAGGAGAGAGGGCAGAAACGTGGGGAGAAAGGGCAATGTATTTCTGAGGGGCAGGAAGGGCCTGTTCCATGTGATGGGGTTACTTGGGTGGGAGGAACCTGCAGGGTGAATTCTAGCAAAGGAGGAAGAGAAGCAGTGGCCAGTGTAGCCATGGTTCCCCCTAGCCTCTGAGTGCCCCACCACCTGGACAGGAAGCAGCAGTCACCATGGAGCTGGCCAGTCTCTTAGGCAAAGATGTTGGTGATAAAGTCCAGGAAGCGCTTCGCATACTGCTCAGGATGGACTGTGGAGATCTCAGCTCCAGCCTGTGAAAGGGGTGTGGCCCACATCAGTGAGCCAGGCAGCAGCACCACCCTTCCGAAGTGCTTGAGTTCCAGCCAGTTCTGACCAGACTATCCTTTCCCACCCTTCTGCTGGGGCACAAAAGGCATGCTCTTCCTGCAGCTGACTGACGAGTGGGCTGACAAAGCAAAGGCCTTGGGAAATCTCACCCCATGCTTGACGGTTTTAGCTGCATGAGCCGCTTTCTTCTTGGCGTCATACTGTGTCAGGATGTCAATGAGGCCCATGAAATACACCTCCTTCTGGGGGGCCCCTGTGGAGGGAGACCCACAGTAAAAAAAAAGGGATGGGCCAGGCCCTGGGCACGGAGAAGGGCCTGGGAGGGCCCTTTCCCTAGTGGCCAGTCAATTTTGTTTCATAGAGATGAGCTACCTCTATACCCACTGGCCCAAGGACAACCCTCTGCTGCTAAGGACAACCCTCCTGGCCCTCACCCCCTGCCCAGTTTCAGAATCTCTCACCCTCAGCACTCCGGATGGCATAGACATCGATGAAGGACTCAAATTCTCCAGGGCCCAGGGGCCGATGAGAATGGATGTAACCTCCAATGCCCTCAGGGGAGGTTCCATAGGAGCCCACCAGGGCAGACGGTCCAGTCAGGTTACAGTCCCCATCCCACTCGGGCTCATCCTCGCGTACGGGACCCTCCTCCTCTGGCTCCGAGCCACGGATGATGTCGTGGATGCCCAGCAGCAGGCTGTAGTCCATGATCTTCAGCTGCACTAGAAACTGAAGCCCACTGTCCCGTTAGACACTCCAGCCCTCCCTCTCCTTGTTCCTACCTCCCCTGCCCCGCCGGGTACCACCCTTACACCCTCAGCCATGAATTCCTAGAGTCCTCCTGGGGAACTGAAGCATAAACAACAAAGGCTGGGGGTGCATCACTGTCCCTCAGGGTCTCATGGTCCTGGGACCTAGGCTCACCCTTTCACTTATCACAGCCAAGCCCTTTGTGAGCAGCCACTGGAGACCTCTCAGGCCTCTGACCCAAGCCCTCAACAATGGGGGTATCTGTTATGCTCAAATAATGAAGGGAAAGGGAGAAACTCCCCAAACTGTGAGTGGAGGATACAATATAAAAAATAAAAGGAAGGAGAACAAAAACAAAATCATATCTCTGAGAGCCCCGATGATCACCTCTACATCTCTCTTCAGCTTTTCTAAAAATACTTTCTTCTCCTCTTCACCAATATACACTTTCTGGTTCTTGTTGAGAAAGTCCATATCCTTCAGGGTAGGCAATTCTTTAACCTAAGAACAAGCAAGGGCTATCTTGGGAATTGACCCCTGCCCCAGGTCCCTGAGCACCCCACCTCTCACCCAGGTGCTATCTCTCCCTTGGTGCCTGTCTCTCATCTGACTCCGCACTGCCATGCTCCCCAAGGGCCCTTCTCACTTCCAGTAGCTTCCCAACACTCCATCATTGCAGTTGCACCCCAAATCACACCCAACTTACTGCTTACAATGTTTAACCCTGACTTTCCATTATTTCTTCTTAAACACACACAGCTGTTTGCATACAAGAATTCAGAAGCATGTTGCTCTAAACCCTGGAAAGCCCCCATCCCATTGCTGAGCCTTGCATATGGAAGAACCCAAGTCAGAGACAAAGCAGCAGCTCCCACTGCCTCTGCCAATCCAGCTTGGATTGGAATTTTACATCTCTCTTCCAGTGGCTTAAGATACAAAGAAATAGATGATCCCATTCCTTTATGACTGAGAGTTTACTTGCCTCAAGAGCCTCTCCACCTCCTCCCCCACCCCTCAAACTAGCACCTGAAAATAGTTATCACCTTTTCCTTATCACTGGCTTCCCGGGACACTAGGGAGCCCTGTGGAGAGACCAAGATAAAGTAAGCAAAAGTGGCTAAAACAGAGCCAAAACCAAGCTTCTGAGACAAGTACTCAAGTGTACCTTCTTCCTTTGAAAAGGAATCATCTGAAGCCCTCCCAGGCCCTTCTCCGTGCCCAGGGCATCAGGAGCTCCCCATGAGGACCTAGCCATCCTTTCCTTACCTTGAGGTCATACTTCCTGTGCACAGGAAGACGGTGACTAAACATATTGCGCATCACAAGCATGTAGCTGTCTTCATTGTCCACACTGACTCGGTACATCCCCAGGAACTGGGGTAGCAGTGTGTTGCCGTGGCACTTCACGATGTACTGAGGTGAAGAGGGAGGAGGAAACCAGGAGAGGCTGAGTAGCAGAAACAAACAGCCCAGGCATGGGACTTCAAACACTTCCACTCCAGGGCAGGGCAGAAAACATCAGAGGCCATACGAAGAGGCCATCAGAGGTGGCAGATGCATCCTACAAATGCCCTTGGGTATCTATGAAGTTTCTGAGTCCTCATCTCCTAGGACTTGTTTATAGACCTGTCTCTTAATTCTCAAGTGCCTTTTCATTCACCTTTATAATTTATTGACATGAAAGGAAACTGTTATGCTTATTTTAGACCCCCTCCAAATGCAAGTGGTCACAGGACAAGGATTAGAACAGACACCTCTTTATGAAAGATGCGATTTCTCCCAGACCAGTGTTTTCTGGTGAGCTAGATGGCCTATAATTTGGAGCTTTAAGAAAGGAATTGGCAATCAATCCATTTTCTATTTTACCTAATCCTCAAACCATGAATACCAGGTTACATGCTCATTTCTCTTGAAATCTCCCCCAGATCCCTCAACTGTCAAATCCAATGGTATTCCAGTCACTGCCACATTCCACTGCTCTTCACCCTCAGTTTCCATCACACCAGCTGTCTGGTCCTCCCTGCAGCCTCAGATCCTGTATGAAATGCACTAAGCATTATCATGACAAATACCCATATCCTGGTCACTTTCATGGACTTATCTACTTGTTCCTTAAGGTTCTGTCTTCAACCTTTTCATTTCACTCCACAAACTTCCCTTTAATAATCTTGTCTAGACTCATGAATGACTTCAAATGGTAATAACTGGCTTAAATAACCACTCATTTATGCACAATTCTTGAATCCACACTTGTAGTCTAATCCTCCTTCCTGATTTCCATATCCATACCCCAACCACCTATTGGACATCTATAAGCTGAATGACCTACAGAAATCTCAAACCCATTGTATCCAAATCAGATCTCTTCCCAATTGTTGGTGAAGGGGCACCCAGTTATCCCTCATCAGAAATCCCAGAGGCCATTAGTTCTAACTCCCACAATTTCTCCAGTCTTTCTTCCTATCTCTCATGACTGTATGTCTTTACAAAATGTCCTCTGTCTTCCTTTGCCTAGAATGTCTCCACCACCTCAACTATGCCCAAGTCCTTCCTCACTTGTCCTTCCAGAATCAAATCCTATGATACCTCCTTTGAAAACCCCCTATTGAGTCTCCAGTTGCACCTCCTTGCCCAGGTGAGCTAGGATACGCTTCTCTGTACCCACAGAACATTTTTGCACACATCTTGAGGTGTACTTACTGTCTTACCATTAGGCCAAGAGCTCTTCAAGGGTCAAACTGTTTCATTCAACAGTTTCTCTACTGCCTGACACAGGGAGGGTCAAGCAAGGACAGACATTAAACATCTGCTGAGTAGACCAAGACTCCTAACAAAATCTCCCTATGAGACGTTTCTGCAGTAGAAGGATGCTCACATAGTGTTTTCAACATCAAAGTACTCCATCAGTCCCACATTCCAAGTTCACTTGATTAGGCACAACAGCCTCCCTCAACTGATGGCTGCATGCACTTATGAAATTCTTCCCTCCAATTTACCCCAATTATGTATCGTCCTGGCTCTCTTGGCAAACTGCAACCATGGCGCTGTATCTGGCATTAAGACTTGGCCCAGTTCTGACTTAGCGTATGGTTTATATCTGCTACACCCAAGTGTCATTTTGCTATAGAGGTCTTGGATTACAAGAACCAAGTTACAGGAACACATCCCAACTCTTTAGTTAAGTCAATACACAGATAAGAATGCAGAAGTCTCTTTTAAGAATGCACACAGAAGAAATATCTAGTTTTCAAAAAAACAAAACAAAAAAGCAAACTGAACAAATGGTTTGTAGGGGAAGATAGAGCCAGATGTATCCCCAGTAGCTCTGACAGCCCAGCTGTGTCTAGGTGGGGAGGCTGGGAGGAGAGGCTGACCTGGTGGTAGTTGGAGAGGTTGCTGTGCATATCAGCAATGTCCTCACTGGACACTTCTTTGATGACCAGAGTCCGATCGTAGGAGATAAGGAAGCGACCATCACTACCTTCACTTTCATGTGGGGGGCTTCGGGTAAGAGATACCTGGGAACACATCACAGGTTAGAGGTTCTTACCAAGCTACATGACTCAGGCAAGTCACTCCACCATGCCCACAGGCTCCTTTCCTTCCCTTTCATGCAGAAATACAAGTCAAGGCACAAGGGCCACCTGTTTGAGAGTGGCCAAAACTCCAGGTAACAGATCAGGTGGAGGTGCTAATCTACTGTCTGTACGGGAACTCAACAAAATAAATGCCAAATTTTCATGCATCTCCAGTCCTGTCCTACCTCTCCAGGGCTGGATTTACAGCTTTAGTTAGACATTTGAGGGTGTCTATCACCATAAAACAATAGAGAACCATACTGGCCAAGGATTTCCTTTCCCCAGACATGACTCTCCCAAGAACTCCCATATGTACTGAGGAAATTACTGCCATCCATCACCGCATCACGAACTCTCACCAAGTAATCCTGGTCATCAATGCCAAATCGGTCACGGAGGTTCCTGAAGACCTGGGGACAATACTCCTTGAACTTGAAATGACTGGGCAGATTTTCCCTGCAATGCAGGTTTTCAAGGTAAGACAACATAGCAATAATGTATTACACGTTGACATAGGAATTGACGATGTACAAACCACCTTCATACTTATGACTCATTTCAATCTCATAAAACCCGGTGAGCTGCTTTAAGAGGAACACCAGACCCATTTTATGGAAAGGAAAACTGCATCTCAGGGCAGTTGAAGAATCTGCCAAAATCATACACTGGCAAGTGGTTCGGGGAGCAATAGGTCTGGTACCCACTCTGGGGAAACGGAAGCATCTAACACATTTCAAGCTCTGAGAGTTCCTCCAGTCAATGACAGGTGCCACTGTTTTGAATGGCATCTGCTGATCCCAGAACTGCTTCGAGGACTCAGTTACTTCTTTTAGGGAGTGGCTTTTCAGAAGCATCTGGGGGCATTTACGACACTGGTAGGTGCAAGGAGAGATTCACGCTGCTATATAAGGATGTAGGGAACACCAGAAGTTATTTAAATGGTTTTCTTGATAAAAACAAATAAACAAAAACACTGAGTTTCTGTGGTAAGAATATCTGACCACACAACTTTGTAAACTTTTAAAATCTAAAACCTTCAACACACTGAAGCCTTTTAAATTATTCATTACTCTTTCTCTAGTAGGGTTTATATGGGAAGGGCAGGAATTCCTCATTACCTGTGGAAAAGATGATTGTTGACCTTGATCTTGGAGCTGGCCTTGAAGTCATCTGGAAGCAGCATCACTGGTAGAGGCACCTGGCTGAGCTCATTGATCTGATGGGGCGAGACACAAGCAGTGGGTCGTGAGCAGTGGGTGAAGTGGGACTCCCACGCCACATCTGGGCAGGGATCCAGAAAGGACACTCAAACCCACCTTTTTCCAAAGCCCTGGCTGGGTAGGCGCTAGGGTACACTACATGCAGCATGCCTGTGTGCCACATTAGCACATCGCTTAGAGTCCTGGCTGCCAGGCTCCCATCCTGCTCCCGACTGATCATGCCTGAACAGCAGAGTCCCTGCCACCTGCGGGAGAGACCTGGATGGAGCTCCTGGCTCTTGCCTTCAGCCTGGCTCAGCCCTGGTTGTTACAACCTTCTGGGGAATGAAGCAGGATAGGAAAGCTCTCTCTCTTAAAAATATTTTATCTATGTACTTGAAAGTCAAAGTCACCTAGAAAGAAAGAGAGAAAGAGAATCTTCCATCTAATCCATTCCCCAAATAGCCACACAGCTGGAGCTGGACCAGTCAAAAGCCAGCAGCCCAGAGCTTCCTCCAGGTCTCCCATGTGGGTGCAGAGGCCCAAGCATCTGGGACGCCTTCGACTGCTTTCCCAGGTGCATTAGCAGGGAACTGGATGCCAACACTGCAGGTAGTGGCTTTATCCACTACGTCACAGTACCAGTGGCGGGGGCGGGGAAAGACTGTTCTTTTTAAGGTTATTTATTTACATGATAGGTGGAGATACAGAGAGATGGGGAGAGACACACACACAGAGAAAAATTTCCTATCCTCCGGTTCCCTTTGCAGATGGCTACAATAGCCGGGACTGGGACAGGATGAAGCCAGGAGCCAATAGCTTCTTCCAGGTCTCAACCACATGGATGCAGAGACCAAATCACCTGGGCTATCTTTTGCTGTTTTCCCATGCTCATTTTCAGGGGGCTGGATCAGAAGTGGAGCAGGAGGAACTTGTTCGAGTGCCCATATGGGATTCTGACATCACAAACAGTAACTTTTCTCTCTATGCCACAGTGCTGGCCCCCAAAATCTCTTTTTCTCTCCCTATTTATTCCTACAAGCAAACAACTCAATAAATCTTTTTAAAATTAATAAATAAAAGCTCTGGTTATGCATATGCCTGAACGTGTGCAAGCACCACAGCTGCCTGGGGGCACAGCAGCAAGCAATCCTCACACTCACGCCCCCACAGAACTTCATGCTCCCAACAGCCACTTTATATTAGGCAAACCCTGTAAGCAACTCAGGCCTATTTTTGTAACTGTGAGAAATTCTAGAGGGAAAAAAACCCTCAACAGACCCAAGACAAACAGTTCCATGCTCCATCTTTTAAAAAAGCATTTCCAAAGTTCACAGAAGTTAGTGGGACTCTGAGGGGTCAATGGTGGCAAGAAGGGTGAACAGCCAGGAGTGGATGCCTGGCATAGCAGTTACCCCACACTGCTTAGGACCCCTGCGTTCCATATCCTGGGGCCTGGGTCTGAAACTCAGCTCTGCTCTCAACTCCACCTTCCTGCTCATGTGTCCCTGGGAGGTAGCAGGTGATGACGGCTCAGGTACTGGAGTCCCTGGCAATGCCGTGGGAGACTCAGACTGAGTTCCCAGCTTTTGGCTTTGGCCTAGACCAACTTGGGCAATGAGCTAGTGGATGGAAGAATTTTTTTTTTCTGCTTTTGAAATGTATTAACTAATTACTTAATTAAAAGCAAAATATTTCAACATGTAGAGGTAAATAATAATAAAAAAGACCTGCCCATGCCCTTTAAAAGGCATCTTTATTTGAAGATCAGATTTACAGAGAGTAGAAGCCAGAGAATCTCTCATCAACTGATTCACTCTACAAATGGTCGCAACAGCCTATGCCAGGAGCCAAGATCTAAGCCAGGAGCCAAGGGCCTCTCCCAGGTCCTCCACATAGGTGGCCATATCCTGCTGCTTCCCCTGGCTTTTAGCAGAGAGCCTGGAACGGAAGTAGAGCAGCTGGAATTCCAGCCAGTGCCTAGCATGGCAGGTAGTGGCTTTCCCTGCAATACCATAACACTGACTCCAAAAGGTATCTTCTTATGAATAGGTTACATCCTTCCAGAACCCTCTGACCCAGTGCTCTGCAGCAGGCCCCACCTGCCTAGATATAGGGCCAGGAAAAAAGCTAATGTCGGAGGGCATGCAGGCAACTGGAGGATGTGAACCCATTAGGTGTCTGTTCCCTAAAGTAAAGTTACCCTCCAATACAAAGGCTACAAGCTTCTCATGCTCCCCTTAGCCCCCAGGATCTGCAATCGGATAATTCTGGGCAGAGGAGGTGCTTCCAAGAATTCCCAGAGAGATGGGTCTTTTCGGCAGGGTTGCTGCAACCTCTCTCATCTGCCTTTAACTGGGCATGCACCACAAGCCAGCAATCACTAGTTTGTGCAAGGGCCCCTCCTACACTGAGCAACTCAAGGGCAGGCACCCACCTTAGTCACCTGCCCCTCTCAGGAACCGGGCCATTAACACAAGTGGCACACAGTGGTCCCCAGGTGTTTATTAACCAAATATGCAAAGGGCTTGGTTTATCCTTGCGTGATCACTCAACAGCGGTTATAAACCACAGCCTAACCTAAATCCCACACAACGCAGTACGCCCAACTCCCTCCTGTTTTCAGCAGAAAAGGAGGACAGAACATACTCCTCCCCCCCCCCAAAAAAAGTCACTTGAGATTTCCAGCCTGAATTGCTTAGCTCTTTCTACCCCTCTCCTCACCACCTGCTTAGCAAGCTGAATCATCACGCAGGCATATGCTCCAGGAATTTCTCCACGCCAGACACTGGAAGGGAGGTCTGTGCTGGCAAGCTAAAGGATAACCCACCCAGGGAAGCTGAGGGAGGGCCTACATGTCAGTCCCCCAACCCTCACTAATGGAAAGCCCTTCCTGCTAGCAGCCCCAAGTCAGGGAGGAGTCACCTGGAAGGTACCTTGGGGAGGCAATCCTCCGTCCATCAGCTTCATCCCCATTGGGGGCTTTGCTGAATGCTAAGGAGGCAGGACCACCCACACAGCCACAAACTCTCAAGGCAGCCAAGCAACCCCGAACGAATGCCATTCCAAACCACAAGATCATGACAACCACTGCATTTTCCCTCATTCCTTCCCCCTCCACACAAGCCCACAGTGACTACCACAGCTCAAGGATTTTGACTTCTAAAATACTCTCTGTCATATTAGGGTTCACCACATACCTCCCATTCCAAACGGGGGGAGGGGAACTGGGAACACTGGTTCTTCCTTCGCCCAAAACATCATCAGCAGAGCAGAGACACAGGCCACCTGGCTCCTGGGTTACACTCTATGAGTGTTGCTTCCTGCTTGCAAAGTTGACCAAGAGTGTATCCAGGTCCCCCGTTCCTGGGCTTTCTGCCTGGTTAAAGCCAATCCCAGCTTAAATACTCTCCCTGCAGGCTGAAGTGGGGATACAGCTAAGACGGACAGCCTCTAAGCTGGGGGAAGGTGGGTGTCTCTGAGATGCTGTCCCTCGGGAAAGGACAAAGCCGGACTAGAAGGTTCAGGTTGTCTAGAGCTTCTCCAAAACCAAACACTGGGGGCTTGAAAAGCAAGGTGAGCAAGAAAATGACCCCTTATTCCGGCTACCCCTTTTCCGACTGCACTTCCTCTATGCCTCTCCCACCGAGACCTCACCACTTCCAACCCCAAAGAGGTATTTCCCAGCCCCCTCTGCACCCCTCGTTCCCTGCCAAGGTCCTTCTCACTGGGCGCCCGTGGCTAGTTAGATCCGTAATGAGTTAAGGACCCGGGAGCAGGATTTTAGCTGGAGACACTAGAATGGAGAAGTAAAGGACGGAAGGAGGGAAGACACTAAAGTTCTCAGGATAAAAACAGTAGCCCCCAAGGGGAACACCTGCGGCTGCCCTCGACAGGCAGGGACCACGGCAGCCCGGGGCAAAGCGGCCGCGCGAGGGGCTCCGGAGGCGAAGCCTGGAAACCGGGATGCCCCGAGGCGCCGGAACTGAGGGCAAGTGCCAGGGATGCTGGGGTCCCAGGGCCGGTTCTCACCGAGTGGGCTACGCCCCACAGGAACACGCCCACCAGCGGGTCGGCCGCCCGGAACACCTTCACCTTCTGCTGCACGAAATGCTTCTTCTTGGTTTTGGAGGCGAAGCCGAAACCCGGGCCGGGGCCTGCCGCCGCTGCCGGCACGCTGGCCGGCGGAACCGAGGAGGACGCCATAATCTTCCCGCGCACTGGGCCGAGTGGAAGCGGGAGCCGGCTGCGATCCCCGGCACCCGACCCCGGAAGCGGTGCTCACCTGCGCCGCGGTCACGTGACTGGAGCCCAGCCCGCAGGCGCGCGAGCCGGGAGGGGCGGGGCGAGGCTGGCTCCGCCCCCTACCGCGCCTGCCGCGACGCCTGCGCGGTGGGTGGATTCACCTGGCTCAGGAGTGTCGGGTCCCCAAGAGGGCGGGGAGCGGCCAGCTAAGGGTCCTGACCTGTCAGCTGGGGGTGCGAGGTGCGACGAGCCGGTGTGATTCAGACTCAGGGCTACTTGGCTGCGAAGTCACCGCCTTCCGGTTTTGCCCAGTGCTCGAAATAATCCCGCCTGAGGCGAACGCGAAAGCTTTGGCTTACGCATAGGTAATGGAAAAGGGCAGGCGCTGCAAATCCAGAACTCTAGAGGTTCCCTAAACTTGTCCGTTCATTCTGCAAGGGTTCTTGAGCATCAACACGTTCTTGGTACTATTCCAGGGGTTAATGGTCGTCGTTAGGTGGAAGCAGCAAAGACTCTTCCGCCGTCCCCAAAGCATCCAGAGTAATGGTGGCAAGTGTGACAGGGGATTGGGCTAGAGACCTGTAAGAAAGGAAGTGCAGCTGACCAGAGGGGCTGGACAGAGTGCGGATATGGAAGGCTGCAGGTGAAAAAGGTCTACGCTGCAGTTCCGTACAAAGACTGAAGACAGGAAAGAACTATCCTGTTTTTGGAGACCAAAGTAGCCAGGTATAGGGCTTCACTCAAGGGTAGGCACTGGAGGTCGACTAAGCGATCTTGATCTACCACCAAGTGGGCTCTGAGAGAGACCACCCTGAGCTCATTCCAGAGGGAGCGTCCAACCAGAAAGCCAGAAGCAGAGGCTGCCAGGTTGGAAAGAAGATGGCATGTAAGGATGTGGAAACTAAATAGTGTAGTCCATGTAGGCTTATTGGGAAGAAGGGCGGGTGGGGGAAGCATTGAGAATGAGTCCCAGGCTTGTGGCTAAGATGGGGAGAGATGCCAGTCTCTTGTAAAGGAGCCATTTGGGGAAGAAGTGGGTACCATCTGGAACGTGTTTGAGGCTTTAGGGGCCCGAAGTTCAGCAGGGTGGTCTCTGCTCGGTACTCCAGGAGGAGGATTGCCATGGAATCTGTGGATGTGTGAAGGAGCAAGGAGAAGACCAAGGGCAGGACCCTGGGAGTGTGCCACAAGTAAAAAGGCTGGTGGAGGAAGACTGGGGAGGGGTGACCAGAGGAGGAGTCAGCAGATCAGGCTGAGTGGAGATTTAAGAAGCAAGGAGTGGGTCTGGCACGGTGGCATGTGGGCTAATCCGCTGCCCACAGCAATGGTAACCCATATGGGTGCTGGTTTGTATAACCGCTCCCCTTCCAATTCAGTCATCTGGGAATGCATCAGAAGATGGCTTTAGTGTTTGGGCTCTTGTACCTACATGGGAGACCCAGTTGAAACTCCTGACTCTTAACTTCGACCTGGCCCAGCTTTGGCTGTTGTTGCCATTTGGGGTGTGAAGCAGCAGATGGAAAATAAATCTCTATGTCTCCCACTTTGTAACTCCGCCTTCCAAATAAACAAATACTACCAAAAAAATAATAAGGATCTAGGTGTGACTTACTTTGCCATGAAATACATCATGTGTTAGAAGGAAGGAAAGGATATGAGCAGATATGGGTCAGAGTCAGTGTGAAGGGGGACAGACACCATATGGGGTCATCCTCATTCTGCCTTTGAGGCAGATGATTCACCCCACTTGTTGCCAGAGAAGGAGGCCAGGCAGGGATCCTGATAGTGAGGGTATGGACCAGGAATGTAGGAGGAGCTGAGCAGAGATCCATAGGGTGCTCTGAGCACCACAGGAGCTCCGTCAGAATGGGTAGGCCCTTCATTTACGATCACCCCACTGTTTTGGTGATACAGTTTCCTCCATCTCAGACACTGAAATCTGAGCAGAGAAGACATTTGGGGTGGGGAGAGTAACTATGCAAATAGTCCTGGGACAAGGGAACTGAACTGTTAGGGAGGGATGGGGACACAGCAGAGAGGGACAGAATTGATGCTGGGACAGAGGTGATGGGCTATGTAGAATGAGAACAAGACCCTCTTCCTTTAGTTGAAAATTACAAACAAGTATTGCTTGTGAACACTTGAGATTGTCAATATCCATTTCAACATTCTTCATTATCATGAACAATGAAGTTCTAGTTATTGATTGTAATTTCTCCAGCACCACAAGAGTCATGCACTGGCATCTATTCCTATGAGATTTTTATTTCTTTTTTCACCACTCTTTTTTTACGTATGTATTTTTTTTTATGTTAGTAGCATGGTTGTTAACTTCACATTGATGAAAAGTTATTATTTTCAACCCAATGTGGACTCTGCTGATTCTGTAAATTAAGTGATATATAATGGAAGTGTAGTAGAGACTGATATGTTCAGACACAGAGACAAAAGTGCTGTATGTTTCTATGCATACAGACCAGAGGTGGACCCCCAGTGAAAGAACTGAAACTATCCTAACAGTAAGAAGAAGAACTCCCTGACAATGTCCATGCCTCCGTTGTTGGGAAACATTTCGACAACGACATGATGGATTTGTGACTGTTCATGAAGGAATCCATTGTAAAACTAGAGGAGAAATCAATGTGGGGTGGGAGAGATCTTGGGGAAGGGCATGGGCAACCCCAGAACCTTCTATATCATAAAACAAAACATGTTTAACAAAAGAAAATTGGGCCCAGCATGGTGGCCTAGTGGCTGAAGTCTTCACCTTGAACGCCAGGATCCCATATGGGCACTGGTTCTAATCCCAGCAGCCCCGCTTCCCATCCAGCTCTCTGCTTGTGGCCTGGGAAAGCAGTCAAGGACAGCCCAAAGCCTTGGGACCCTGCGCCCACGTAGGAGGCTCCTGGCTTTTGATTGGCTCAGCTCCAACCGTTGCAACCACTTGGGGAGTGACTCATTGGACAGATCTTCCTCTCTGTCTCTCCTCTCTGTATATCTACCTTTGCAATAAAAATAAATAAGTCTTTTTAAAAAATTATAAACAATCTACATATCTACTAATATTAGGATAATTGACTAAATTATGGGGCAATAGGGCCAGTGTTGTGATGCAGTGAGTTAAGCCACCATTCCAAGATGCTAGCATGCTATCCAGCTTCCCAATAGTGCATCTGTGAAAGCAGAATATGGCCCATGTGCTTGGGGCCCTGCAACCCATGTGGGAGACCCAGATGGAATTATGGGCTTCTGGCCTCTCAGCCTGGCCCAATCCAGGCCATTACCACTATTTGGGGGGAGTAAACCAGTGCATGGAAGATCTTTCTCTCTGCCTCTTTCTCTGTAACTCTGCTTTTTAAGTGAATAAAATTAATCCTTATAAAATTAGCAGATAATACAGATGTATATATTAAGGACATTTTTGGAAGAGAGATGAGGTCCCATGCTTTGGTTCACTCCCCAAGTGCCCCACATGGCCAGGTCAGGAGCTGCCAACTCTACTCTGGTACCCACCATGGGTGGCAGGGAACAGTACCTGAACCATCATCACCATCGCCTTCCAGGGTCTATGCTAGCAGGAAGCTGGAATTGGAACTCCAGCTGGGACCTGAACCCATGCACACAATCTCTATGTATGTCTGCCTTTGAAATAAATTAAAAAGAAAAATGTGCTTACCATTAGGCTCTATGCCTGCTCCTGTATATACATATTTTAATGAGGTAAATTGAGGGGTATTGATGTGAGATCGCTGGGGCATATTGTGAAGTGGGGAAAAACCCATATGTAAATATATGAGAAAATGTTGGAAGACTAGATCCCTTGCCATTGGATGCTGCTCCCTGCAAGGCAGGGAGTGAGGCTGGAGAGGAAGAAAGAAGGTTTGCCACACCGAGGAGTCACCATCAACTTTATTTGACTTTAAAGGTCTCTATGTACATTGAATAAATACGCGTTGTGGTTTGTGCAGTTTGGTTTTTCTTCCACATCAGCATGCAACATTTTGGCAGATGTGAGTAGGCAGACCAGATGCTCCCAGGGGAGTCCCTGGCTCTCTGAGGGTGTGTGGTGATGTTGGGGAGCAGGAGGAGGACGAGGCTGTGGTGTGAAGTGTCAGGTGAACAGGGAGGGCGATATGTGTGCTGTGGCTTGTTTCTGTCTTAACATCTTGCTCCAGTGCAGGCTGTTCCTCTGGGTCCCCTCTCAGCTGCCCTACAGCTTCACGGTGTCTTCTGTGAGTTCCCAAAGAACCACTGGGTAACAAAATGACCTAAATGCCCATGGACCCTTAGTGTGCCTGGCAAGCCAACTATAGCACAAGTCCATGGGCAGACCCGCATGGTCCTTCCCTCTGGACTGGGGCCCTGTGCTGTGGCCTGCCTTCTCACTCTTTCCTCTTTTCTATGGATGGGGAGCTTGGTGTAGGGGGGTCAGATTGAATCCCCTTCCTTAGAGTAGTAATTTCAAACCCCTCTCTAGAACGCTTGGGCTCTTAGGATTGCGAAAGTGCCTTCCAGCCTATGAAGCATTTTCCGCTAAAAAGGAAAAACAAAACAAAACAAAAAACAACAACTAACTGCCCTTGGGTCTGCATTGCTTTTTTTCTTAAACTTTTATATTAGGGTTCTAGGTAAGATTTGTTTGGGGTTAAAACCATATATATATATAGGGTTTAAAAACCATTGATACGGATTGATTCCACACCTTATGGCAAGTCTTCCCTTTACTACTAATGTCGTCCATCTCAGGTAAGCCTTGCCTTCAGGGTTTGAGCTGTCTAATAACCTCCATGCTGCAGTTCCCTGGAAAACCCCCTTAGCACCATGTGGCAGGAAAGATCCGCATGAAACTGAAAGAACAGTCCTCTTAGCTGCAGGAGAGGGGCCAGGGGGTCCCCTGAGAAGGGCAGTGGGGGAGGAGCCCTGCACTTCCCCCCCTTTGGAAAGCCTGTGCTGCCCTTTCCTTTTAAAGTGCACTTAATACCAGGTGGGGACAACAGAGAAGGACATCACAGGGGCAGGGGGTGTCTGTGAGGACAAAGTCCAGCTCCAGCTAGCCAAGGAAGGCATCTAGAGAAGATTGTGCCAGTGAGCCCAAACCCCCCAATTCAAAAGGTAGAGAAGGGAAGAGCTTGGAGGCTGATTGTAGGGGGCAGGAAAAAGGGGGAGGAACCCATCATTTCAACCTAAGGCCCTATGACAAGAAACATTTAGGACTCTCCCAACTTATTCACCTCAGCCCCCAAACCCAAGGAATCGGTCGTTCTGATGGACATCAGGTGCACGGCCATTGGCCTTCACCACACTGCTGGGAGGGGCCTGCCACCTACATTTGCAAAGCAGTTTGGAGACACTCTGCCCTCTGCCCCTGTGAGCCTGGGGCTACAGAATGTCAAGAGCAGCTTCTAAGGGAAAGGGAAGTGGTCCCATGAGCAGCCCATGTGCTCAGGAAAAGCAAGGGAGGCATATAAACAGGGCTGAAGCCCTGGGGCCCCCTCACTCACGTGGGGGGGGTGGTCTGCAGAAGGTGGTGTGTGTGATGCAGCAGCCCTTTTGTTTCCTCCTCCTCTGTGCTGGACATGAACAAGGAAGGAGGAAAAATCCACATCTCCATCTTCTTTAGAATGCTAAGACATTCGAATTTCTGCTTAAGGCTTTGTGTGTCCACATGTGTATGTGTGTGCATGTGTGCATGTGTGTATGTGAAAGAGGGGGGAGCGTCCCCCTCCCCGGCTCCCATTTTTCCTGCTATCATCTCCGTGACCTCTACTCAGCGACCAATACCACTCAGTGTGAGAGACAAATATATGAGAGAGACAGAATAGACGTCTACCCTCTATTGTCCCCAAAATGAGGAGGGCAGACTACGCATAGCAACTGCTCGGGACATGGTTACATACTCAGAGAGGGAGACAGAGAAGAGAGATGCGGCAGTGGCCTGGCTCTACAGATACAGAGAAGCAGACATCGAACATCACACAGCGAGACGACAGGGGCAGGGGGAGCTAGTGGCAGGACCGCAGGTTTGCAGCATGCTGAGAGAAGAGGCCTCGCGGTCCCTCTTAGAAACTGGGAAAGAAACAGAGAGAGTGTGTGAGGTGCCAGCCTGCAGCCCTAACTGCCCCTGCAGGAACGGAGGCATTTGCACGCATGCATATGGAGGTTCCTTGCTCCTTCAGTACCAATCACTTGCTCTGGCCCTGCCCCTCCTCTCCCATCCTATATCTCTGCTTCTCAGGCTTTTCTGTCCTGTCTGAACTGCAGCCCAGGAAAAGACTGACCATGTTCTCCAAGGACCCAAAAGAGATCATAGAATAGGACTCCCAGGATCTAGCTCTGGCCTATGGTGCCTGGTGACCCACAAGAACCAAGAAGGCTGCCTGTGTGACTACAAAAGAGAACCTAGGCACAGAGACAGGGAAGGGGAGCTAGGGAAAGAGCTGTTTCCACATACAGGGAGCACAAGGATAACACCGCAACAGAAAAGATGTGGCAGGTGCTCCCTGAAGCTGTGGATGCACATTGATAGGGCAGGAGAAACACGAACACCTTGGTTGTAGATGCCTTGGTCTGGAAAATATCTATTTGGACTAAATCATTGTGGGATAGAGGCATGGGAGCTGTGGTCATTTGTCAGGACCTCTTTGATTTCTAAGCCTGTGACCTGTGTGGGGCTCTAACAGCCACAGTGCTCAGGATTGTTCCTTATGGTGTGTAACAGTGCCTCCTAGCGCATAAGGGCAGTAGTACTGTGGTTTCTCTGTCAGCTGAAGAAAAAGTAGAGGTGCAGAAGCCCCAACCCCATCCCCTGGGGGGGAAGTAATAAGGATTAGCTCAGCTGAGCTGAGCAGGGATTAGACAGTGTAAGTTTTGGAAATGGCGGGAGAAAAAACAAGCAAAAGCAGGAGAACTGAAGAGGCTGTGGGCAGGAGAGGAGGCTACCTGAAAGTGCAGGTATGGAGCCCTCCTGTGAGAGATTAGCTGGCTGCCGTCTCTTGGTGGAGAGGGAAGAGCTTGGCCTGCTCCTCAGCTTCATAACCGCATGGCAGGTCGCTTCTGGAGGAAGAGACCCCATCCCCAGGATTAGCTCCCCACAACACACATCCTGCTGACGCGGTCACTTAGTTCCCACAGAACAACTGTGTGTGCCACCCAAAAACACAGGAGTGCTCAAGGCCAGTGGGATGAAGCAGACTGGCTCAAGGGCACAAGCTAGAGCAGAAGCCCAGGTGACCAGATGTCCATGGCACTACTTTGGCCAACTCTTCCCTCACCCAGACTGGATGGAGGAGAAGGCATAGGAAGGGGCTGGGGGAGGGAACAGTGATCTGCAAGCAGCCGGGGGTGGTGGTGGGGGAATGGGACAACACAGGAGTGCCAAGAAAGACTCCTTCCCATGCAGGCTCCAGGGAACCTTTGCATAGGGCTCAGGGAAACCGAATCATTTCCCCCTGCCCCCAGGGGCCCAAGGGGAGTGGGAACGGTTTACCTGTTGTCGTTGATATCTGTGGCATTTCCTGCAGAAATGGCCATCAAGAACAGGGGTGAAAGAAAACACAGGACACTAAGCAAGAATCCATGGGCCCAGACTGGCCCACTGTGGTCCCAGGGAAAGGGTAAGCTGTGCCTCTCTCCTGGGCTGCCCCCGCCTCCACATCCTGTTCTCTGCCACTGGATAATCATCTTGACTGAGAACAAACCTCTGGGCCCCTCACTGAGAGAAAGGAGAGGAGGGGAGGGTAGGGGAGGGGAGGACAGGGGAGGAGAGGGGAGGGGAGAAGAGAGGAGAGGGGAGGAGAGGAGAGGAGAGGAGAGGAGAGGAGGGGAGGGGAGAGGAGAGGAGAGGGGAGGGGAGGGGAGGAGAGGAGAGGAGAGGAGAGGAGGGAGGGGAGGGGAGGGGAGGGGAGGGGAGAGGAGAGGGGAGGGGAGGGAGGAGAGGAGAGGAGAGGAGAGGGGAGGAGAGGGGAGGGGAGGGGAGAGGAGAGGAGAGGGGAGGGGAGGGGAGGAGAGGAGAGGAGAGGGGAGGGGAGGAGAGGGGAGGGGAGGGGAGGGGAGGGGAGGGGTGGTCATGCTGGTGGGAGGGAATGGTTTGCAGGAGACTCAGAGAGGTGGGCAGTGTCAGAGCTGTGGGAACAGGGGATCTCTGAAAGGTGCCATTCAAGTGGGGCACCCCACACAGCCCCTTCTGAAAGGTGCCGGGTAGGGGTACCCTTGTGGTTCCCTCTGAAAGGGGCTCATCTTCCCCACTCACCATTGTCCATGTTGGCCTTCTGATAGGGAGCCAAGGAGCTGCCAGAAGATGCGGCTGCACTGCTGCTACAGGAGTTAGGGAAGCTAATAGGAAAGAGAAGGGAAAAGCAGGCTCTGGCACATTGAGGACCACTACTCCACACCCAGCCATCAGTGACACAACCACACACCCACCATCACCTCCATAACACGGGCCAGCAAACAGGGAGGACAGAGTTCCCATGGGCCAGTGTTAGGCATGAGATGATTAAGAGTCAGGCAGAAAGCGACTTAGGAACATAAGGGTGCTTGCAGGGATGAGGGGTCCAATCAGTCCACGCTGCCTGTGGTAACTCACTACATGTCTGAGCTGGAGCTCGGTGCGGCCTGCAAGTACAAGTTCTGGTAGTTCTGAAAGAGGCTGTTGGTGTAGCTGATGCACTCGGGGCTCCGCGTGCCACAGGGGTTGGTGGGTGAAGAAGCTGGGTAGTGGCCTGGTCGGACGGGTTTGGCTGCAAAAGAAACACCTCTGAGGGACAGGTGTTTGGCCCAAGGTTCAAGATGATGTTGGGGACACCCACACCCCATGTCAGTGAGATATGGCTGGTTCCAGTCTCTGCTGGTCAGTTCCAGTGCCAGCTTCCTGCTCATAGGCACCCTGGAAGGCAGCAAGGGATAGCTCAAGTGCTTGGGGCCCTGTTCTCCCATGCGGGAGACCTAGACTGAGCTCCCAGCTCCTGGCTGTGGTCTGACTCAACTCTGGCTATTTCAGGCATTTTGGGGGACAGGCAGGAATGAACCAGTAGATGGAAAATCTCTCTATTTGCAAATAAAGTGAAAATAATATTACAAGTTAAGTTTCTTTTAAAAAGAAGAAATGACTGGGAGACTAGGGTTAGCCTGTGCTGTTTGGGTCACTGAGGTCACGCAGATGGGGTTAAGCCAGTTCCTTCTAAGACAATTCCCACAGGGTCAAGTGTTCAGCATGGTGGCTAAGATGCTGCTTGGGATGCCTGCATCCCATAGCAAAGTCCCTGAGTTCAAATCCCAGTTCTACATCTCATCCATTTTCCTGTTCATGTGCACCCTGGGCAGCAACAGAAGATGGTTCATGTACTTGGCCCCCTGACACCCATGTCAGAGACCCAGAAGAAGTTCCAGGCTCCTGGATATAGCCTGGCCCAGCTTTGGCTATTGCCTCCACTTGGGGAATAAACCAGCAGTTGCACAAGATCGATCTCTCTCTCTCTCTCTCCGTCCCTCCCTCCCTCTCTGCTTTTCAAATAAATAAATACATTTTAGAAAGATCATCATCCTTTTAATTTCTGGGAATGGGGGGTAGTAAGAAGCAGTCCTGCAGCCACTTGGTTTTCAGGGAATTGCTGAGTCTGCTCCAGATGCTGAGCCTACCCTGCCTGCTGTGTTCAACTCACCGATCTGAGCAGAGTGGCCCCGTTTGCCTGCGCCCTTATAGCGCACGGCCTCCTTGATGCGGTCCACCTCCTGCTGGTACCGACGCTTGTCCTTCATGGCGCCTTCCTTGGCCTCCTTCAGTGCACCCTCCAGGGCCTTAACTCTCTCAGCCGTAGCCCTAAGTCGTTTTTCCAATTTAGGAAGCTCACAACGCAGATCTGCATTGTCACGTACCAGCTGCCAGGGGAGCCAAAGAGAAGAGGAGCAAAGGAAGATGAGAGACTCAGGGCAGAATTGCCCAGCGGGATGAGGGGTGTTGAGTGGGGAGAAAGAAGATCTCAAAGTCAGAGAGGACAGATGCCATGTCTCTTCATGCTCTTCTACCCACTACTTTCCTTCTCTCCAGGGAGATAGCAGTTGGGTATGACAAAGTTCGATCTTGTGCCCTCTGCATCATAGTGCTGTCTGGCCCAGACACTTGACTCCACCGAATGTCACAACATGTGTCAGATCAATAACCCCAGGCAACTAAGGGGATGAGCACACTCCTCCTGGGAGATGGCTCTGGGGGTTTGCCCAGGGCAGGCAGCGAGGAGATGGTGATGGCTTTGGGAATGGGTCAGATGCAGTGCAGAGGAGGAGCAAGAGCCTCCCACCACGCCAACACACACAGCCCCAAAGGAAGAAAAAAAAAGTTTGAATTCTCACAAACATTTCTGTTCACAACCTTTTCATTCACTGCAACAGTGGCAGAGGGATGGGGCAGAGTGAGGGCGCTGCCAGGCAGTTCCCATGTGAGCTTGCATTTGCACAGAGAAGGGCTGTGAGCACCCAGGAAGGAGAACAGAATGATGGCACTGATTAGAAATGATTTCCTAGCTATTTTCCAACTTTTCCGTAATGCTGTGATACTTTGAAAATACGGCAAGGGAAAGATGCCTGTAAAAACTTCTGCAAACAAATAAAGCCTGCAGACCACCACTGGGACACAGGGTGGGGGTATTTTCCCCCCATTAAAGGAAAAAAAAAAAGGTGAGTAGCGTAACTCTTGTGTACTGACAGTACCCCACTCCCCAAACCTTTCCCACTTCTGTCAATCTCACCCTGGGGAACTCCACTTTGAGCCAAGGGTAGGTTAGTGATTTTGAGGAGGGAAAACAGCCATGTGACAAAGGTCAAGGACAAGGTACAAAGACAGGCATCAGTAGGGAAAGTAAAAAAGAACAAGAAAACAGGCAACTAGGTCTCTTGAATCCCAGGGTCTCCAGGGATGTGGGTGTCTTAGGTATTCGGAAGCCAAAGTTTCTTCTGGTCATCCTATCTTCAGCAACTTACCTGTTTGTGAACCTTTGTAAGCTGCTCCAGGTTGTTCTCAAGAAAGGAAATCTTCTGCTTTTGGGAGTGAATCCCCCCACTGTCCTCGGGTTCCATTTCCGCGCTCTGATTGGAGACAGGCAAAAATGTGGCTGTCCGGAGGCCCAGCCAGCACCACAAAGGACAGCAGCCGCTGGAGGAAGCTGGTAAGGGCAGTGGGCAGAGCCAAGGATGGCACTCACTTTCTTGACTCGAGTCGTGACGTCTTGAACGAACAGCTTGCGAAGGTTGTGGAGGGTCTGGAGTTCACGGGCCTGGAAACAACAATGAAACAATTGGGGTTATGGGCCCAGTGCACTGGCTCAACCAGCTAATCCTCCACCTCCAAGTGCAGGCATCCCATATGGGTACCAGTTCATAACCCAGCTGCTCCATTTCCTGTCCAGCTCCCTGCATGTGGTCTGGGAAAGCAGTGGAGGATGGCCCAATGCCTTGGAACCCTGCACCCGCGTGGGAGACCTGGAAAAAGTTCCTGGCAACTGGCTTCAGATCAACTCAGCTGTAGCCATTGCAGCCATTTGAGGAGTAAAGCAGTGGATGGAAGATCTTTGTCTCTGTCTCTCCTTCTCTATGGAATTCTGCCTTTCCAATAAAAATAAATCAATCTTTAAAAACAAAACAAAACAGTGGGGCTGTCCGGGATCCAGATCCACCTTTTCCAAGAGAAAGTGTCCTATTACACTATAGACTAGCTGCGGAAGGGCAGAAGGGTTGGAGTCAGCTGGAAATCGCAGGGAAGACTAGAAGTGCTTCCCGCAGGCCCCCGTTCACTTGGCACAAAGGAAAACCACTCACAACTGTCTCCTCCAGTCCCTTGAGGTCCTGCTTGGACTGCTCATGTCGCTCGTACAGAAATCTGTAACAGAGAAACAAGGAGAAAGCAAGACGCAGAATGCTTCGCGCCTCTCCTCCCTCCACTCACCTCCCCCGTCCCTCTGCTCTCTGTTTTATTATGCTGTTATAGAAGTTACCCAGGGTTACTGCACAAGAGTTAGACAAGCGAGTTCAGCATAAGGGGCATGCTGCCTAGTGGTTAAGACACCTCCGTCCCACACTGGAGGGTCTGGGTTCAACTCCTGGTTCCCGCTCCCGATTCCAGCTTCCTGTAAAGTCTGGCCCCTGCAAAGCAGCAGTGATGGCCAGACGGGTATGTTCCTAACACTCATTGTGGGAGACCCGGATTGAGTTTCTGCCTTCCAGCTTTGATGAACCCAGAACCAGCTAGCTGGTATGGACAATTTAAGGAGAAAGTCAGCAGGTGGACGCATACTCTCTCTGTTTCTGCTTCTCAAGTAAATTAAAATAATAATAAAGCAAAGTCCTTCTTTTAAAAAGAGATATGGGGTCTGCATTATGGTGTAAGCTGCTGCCTGAGATACCTGCATTCCATATAAACACTGATTTGAGTCCACTTATGATCCAGCTCTCTCCTAATGCACTTGGCAAAGCAGCAGAGGACAATCCAAGTGCTTGGACCCCCTACACCCATGTGGGAGAGTCGGAAGAGCTCCTGACTTCATCCTCTTCTAGCCTGGGTCATTGAATCATTTGGGGAGTGAGCTAGATGATGGAAGATCTCTCTGTCTCTCCCTTTTTCCCTATAACTCTGCCTTTCCAGTAAAAATAAATATTTTTTAAAAAGCCAAGCTTTTATAAAAAGCTCACAGTTCTATTGGTTACAGACAACAAGACCACTAAGTGTCTGGTGTCCATCTCTCCAGGCTCCTTTCTCTACATATTTCTGTATTTTTACGGGACCACGCCATACTGTTCTGACACCAGCTTTTCATGGTCAACCTAACCCACCAGCCTCTTCTGGCTCCAACTCAGGTGGTTTCTGAGTGTCTGTGGTGCCATCCTAATACATTCATGGCCATGTATGTTTGGGTGGTCACTGTGACAGCTTGTGGCACAGAGAGCATATGGCACGGGGAGCATGTGGCCACTATGAGAGTGTGTGGCACGGGGAGTGTGTAGGACAGGGAGTGTGTGATGTGTGAAAGCATGTGGCACATGGAGCATGTGTCACTGTGAGAATGTGTGATCACTGTGAGAGTATGTGGCACAGGGAGCATCCCTCACGTCAGCTCCTGCAGTTTGGCGCTCTTCTCATGCTCTTCGTTCTTCAGCTTCTTGTAGTCAGCCTGGAGCTTCTCCAGCTCCAGTTGTAGCTTCTGATTCAGGCTGGGACAGCCCCGGGCAGGCAGAGGGTCGGGGGGAAGGAAAAACAGATGTTACCAAGCAGGAAAAGGAAGAGGAAGTCCCTCCAGTGCTCTCCTGCTTCTCGTCTAAGCCCTCGTGCTTGGAATGGACACATCCCACTTGGCACACCACAGGCTGCCCCAGGCCTGCAGCTTCTGGGACAGAAGAGGCAGTCCTGAGATCGATGGTCATTTGGGCCTCTGGTAAAAGGGACCAGACCTTATTTATCTCCTGAGGCAGCTGGACTGCAAAGTTGCATCACTGGGGATAGAATGACGAGGGAGCAGGGGTGAGAGGGTCCTGTTAGGAAGGGGCGGGTGTATAGGCCCAGCAGGATCTGCAAGGGATCCCAACGCCATCCATGGGAGCCTTACTCTTTGAGCTCGTCAATAGTCTTTTGCTTCTCATTGATCTCGTCTCGGAGCCGGGCCAGCTGCCGGTGGTGAGCCTCCCGGTGACTCTCCATCTGCACCTCCAGCGCCTTCTGCAAACAGCACACCCACCAAGGTTTGAGGCCACACTCCCAGATGCACACCCCAAGAGTGCCCCAGTCCTGTCTGGCCACCTACCCACCCATCCCACCCTTGGCCAACATCTTGCCCACTCACCTTCACTTCATCTGCTTCTTGGGTGTCCGGCTCCTTGTCCTTCAAGACCACCTCATGCACGGTTTCTAGGGGAAAGACACCCCATACCAGATTGGCCTCCTTTGGAAAGCCCTGGAGTAGGGCCTAGGGCCCAGGTGGGGCAGGGCAGCCAATGGGCAGGCTTATGGGCTATTCCAGGGCAGGACAGTCCCTTCTGATATAGCCGGCATGGAGTTTGCGGGTCAGTATACATGAGCCACACACAAAAGTCTGGTTGGGGAGTGAGCAGGTGAATTGGCATCAGTGGTTTCACTGGGAGAATGACTGTCGGTGGATTTTAGCGGATGTGTGTGACTGTCCCCTTCCCCATCCCCTCTGGGCTCTCAGATCCCAGGATCAGAGAGGGTGGGAGGAGCGATGGAAGCCGGGGAGGGTCTCACCCTGTGCCTGCAGCTTAGCCAGCTCGTCACTCAGGGAGTCATAGGATTCCTCCAAGTGCCGCTTCTTCAGCTCCACGCTCTGCATGTACTCCGTAAGTGAGCGGATCTTGGCCTCATGCTAAGAGGAAATGGGTGGTAAGAGGAAGAAGGCAGACAAAGCAGGGAATATATAAGATGGTACACTCCTGTTCTCCTCCTGGTCCTCCTCCAGCCATGCCTTCCAAGACTACCCAGGTCAGGGGTCATTCCTATGGGGCTCTTCTGTTAGAATCTCTCTGTTCAAAGCAGGCAGTACCTGCCTCCATGCCTTCACTTTGGCCTGCATTCTCTTTCCTGGTTCTTCTATCCTTGATCTCAGCTGACCTTGACATTCTGGTGGCTGCTGGCCATTTTAGCTACAAGTCCACAACAGCCTTGTTTCTCCCACAGTACTCTGAGACTTTAGGCTCAGCCACAGCCACTCACTCACCTGGGAGATGAGCAGCTGGCAGGAAGACAGCTCACGCCCAGTCACCTCCATCTTGCGGTGACATTCCACCTGGAGGTTTTCCAGTTGCCGGCACCGCTTCACCACAGACTTGACCTCTGACTTGATCTTGCTAATGTAGAGCCGGGCCACAGTGAACTCCTCCTCAATGGCCCCACTGATCTCCACAGGCTGGGAATGGGCACAAGGGGCAAGAGGCTAAAGAGCAGCCCTCATCCACTCCTTCTATCTCCCACCACCTCTGCACATGCATGCACACAGGCATACACACAGGGGACTCTAGTGGATAGATGAGTGGTCCCATGTAGCTCTCTCACCTGGCAGTTCACACAAAATCACTCCACCTACATTTAAAGAGCCAAGGACCACACTCGCCCCTCCTGGCTTACAAAGCAATATGATTTTTCTATTGTAGCCAAACTGATGAGCTTCATCAGCACACTCCATTGCACCTCCTCAGAACTGCGTTCCCACCTCCCTGCACATCCCCATTCCTTCTGGGCAAATCTCTTGGCATTTCCTGGGTCTCCTGTGAAGGCAAGGCTCTTGGCTCTCTGGCGCCCTCTCTCGGTATCCCCGAGGATCTGGAATGGGTCACCCTGCTTCGCCCTCAAGTGCCCGGGGTTGGGAACAGCCCCAGATGGACTGCAGCTGTGCCTGCCCACTCACCAGCTTGATCTCCCCGTTGCCCACGATGACGCTGAACTCACTCAGGTCCTTCATGAGCCCATTCAGCACCTCAGCAATTCGTTTGCGCTGGTGTCCACTGACCTCCTGGAGTCGCTGCAACTCTGACTCCAGGGACAGCATAGTGGCCTGAAGATACCCCTTCAGGTCAATCCCATTGCCAACTCCTGCTCCCCCATGCCCTGGCCCCCAGTACAGGCCTCTCACTCCATGCACCACCCCAAATGCCACCACAAAGAGATCACAGGCCCTGCAGAAGGGGCTAAGAGAGAGGGGTCAGGAGGGCAAAAGGCAGTGGCAGAATGGATAGGTGCCAAAGCCATGCCACCCTGAGAGGAACCAAAGGCCCCCAGGGACACGGAGTGTGACGGAGGCCATGGGGTGGCGACTCACCACCTTCTGAGACAACTCGTCCACCAACAACTGGTTCTGCTGGCTCTTCTCCTCCACTTCCTGGGACTTCTGGTCATAGTTGACGGCCAGCTCCTCCAGGGCCTGAAGCACTTCCTTTACCTCATCCTTGGCAGCATCGTTCTCCGACTGCAGATGGCTCAGCTCTCGCTGGACCTTCTCGTTATCTCCTCGAGTGGATACTAGGAGCTGCAGGGAAGACGAAGGGTATGTGAGGGAATGCCTTGTTGGCTCAGAGGAGCTGAACCCCCTCTCTCCCTTATAGCAAGAGTCAGAGGGAGAGGGCTTTAGGCCTCATAGGAAAACAATAACAGAAGGGAGAGGCACCGACTCCAACTCCGAGTTTTCAGAAAAGCACCATGGCGCTTCCCATACTGCTATTCAGTTTTGGGGGGTGACTGGTCCCTGGGCAGAATACCCCTTCTTCCATCTGATTTAAGGAGAGGGAGAGAGAAGGGGAGAGATAGAGAGAAAGAGAAAGAGGGAGAATCTGCCATCTCCTCATTTATTCCCCAAATGCCACAACTGCCAAAGCTGGGTCAGCCCCAAACCAGACGCCTGGAACTCCATTTGGGTCTCCCACATGGGTGGCAGAGGTCCAAGTACTTGGTCCACCTTCTGCTGATTTCCCAGTTGCAATAGCAGGGAGCTAGATGGGAAATAGAACAGCTGGGACTTAAGTCAGCACTCAGTTATGGGATGCTGGCAGCTTTACCTGCTATGCCACAGCTCATGTCCCTTTCTGTCTGATTTCACCATGATCTTTTTGTGCAAGGGAGCTTGCCTGTAGGGACACCCAAATCCCACACTGGAGTTCACCGGGTTTAATTCCTGACTCCAGCCTCCTGCTAATGAGGACCTTGGGAGGCAGCGGTGACATCTCAAGTAATTAGGTTTTTGTCCTTCACATGGAAGACATATGTCAAGGGCCCTGCTCCTGGCTCTGGTCCCAAGCCCAGTCCCAGCCACTGTAAGTGAACTAGCAGATCTGTCTGCTTCTCAAATAAATAAATATAAAAATTTTAAAAAGATCTTTTTATGGCTTTCTTTTCATGTCTCCCCCGACACACACATCCCTTACCTCCTCCTGGTCCAGCATCTGCTGCTTGAGCTTCTCTATGAGCTGGCTCTGCTGGTTGATCTCATCATCCTGTTGGGACCAGGGGAACAGGTGAAGGGAAGCCACTACTAGCTGCTTATCATTAGGAGGGGGGAGTAGAGGGAGGATTTTGATAAAAACCCAGATAGCTGAGGGTTCCCGCTGGAAGCCTCCTGTCCTAAAAATTAAAAACAAAAACAAAACAATCTTCTCTTCAGCCTCCTGCCTCGACTCTAAGGCTCATTCTAACTTATTTTCATCCTGGAAGTTGCTATATATATAACCCTGATCATATGTAGCAAACCCATTAATGTTCACATCCATTAGCCCAGACATCCCATGCTAAGATTGCATTCCAACTCCCAATGCTCAAAAGCCAAGTCTCAGGTATAGGAGGCAAAAACAGTCATTTCAGAGTTCTTTGTAACAGCAAAATACTGTAATGAGTGAATGGCCAAATACATTGTGATAATTGCACGCTCAGGCAGCTCTGTAAAAATACCCTTTATAAAGAATTGCTGATGCAGTAAGAAATGGAACCTAACACGAGGCTAAGACAACAAATGGATGCCAAATGACATCTAGAGCTGGTCTGTGCACAAAGAAAAAGAAAATGCTAGGAGCGTCACCACTCGCTCAATGCGGGCTGTGCATGACTTTGATTTTCTGCTTTCCCTTTTCTACACTTTCCAGCACGAGTGTTTATCCCTTCTTCCACAATCTGAAAAGGGCTGGTGCAAGAGAATTTCCCAGCCTTGCACCTGCCATCCCAGGCCATGGCTCACCTTGTCATCCAGCTGCTTGTAGAGGCGACGGATCTCCTCCTCATACTTCTGCCGTTCCTCTGGCGCAATGCGCACCACAATGGATGAGTTGTCATTCACGGGGGTCTCCTCGCAGAGCTCAGGTCCCAGGGCAGCATCCTCCCCGGCCAAGCGCTCCGTCTCTGGCACATTCTCTCCTGGCCAGGGCCCAGGGCAAGAGCAAGGTGAGAGATGGAAAAAAAAGTTGAAGGCCCAGTCCCTCTTCCCTCCCAGGAACCTGCATGCCAAGAACTCGGAGCTCCACTTCTAGCCCAAGTGGATCTTCCACCTTTTGCTGGGCCTGTTCCCTCCTCTTACACCCCAGAGAGGGGCCTCCGCTGACTCCCACACAGGGCTGGCTCCCCAAGATGCTGCCTTTGCCTCCCCCAGAGAAGTGCCCCACTCCCTAACCATTGCGCCACCGGCTCAGCTCAGCCTCCAGCTTTGCAATAGTCTCCTTCTGGGCCTTGGTCTTCTCCTTCTCCTTCTCGTATTTCTTCTTCCACTGCTCAGCAGTCAACTCCAGATTCACAGAGGCAGTGTTCTTAATGGTCTTTGCCCTGCCAGGGAAAGAGAAGAGGAAGGAAATGAAGAGACCCACACGAAGCTTGGGCGACATTGGGTGGGGGTATAGAAGGAGCGCCTCAGCGACCCTGCCACTGACCGCTGCCCAAACATCAGGGTGGACTTGGTCTCCGCATCGTTGTAGCTCGATGGGGAGCAGCAGATGAACATGGTCGTGCGGCAGTTTCCTCCCAGAGAGTCCTGGAGAATCCGTGTCATTTTGCTGTCACGATATGGCACATAGCTTTTCTGTAGTGGGGAGGAAGGAGACGGTAAAGCAGAAATGTAGGAGCTTGGGGAGGCTGGTGGGGTGGACAGATATGGGGCAACCTGCTAAACTAGGCAGGGGAGGGGCAGGAGGCTGGCGTGGAGGGGCCCCAAGGGCCACTCACTGTGCCTTCAGCCAGTGCTGAGATCACGTTGCCCAGGGCTGACAGGGACTTGTTGATGTTCTTTGCCTCATCCAGCACGGCTCCCTCAGCTCCGGTCTTGCTGACCTGCCAGGGCATTCAGGGCTGTTTGTATTGCAAGTACCTGTACTCTCTACTTAATGGGAGTGGCTCAGCCAAAGAAGAACAGAGGGAAAGGGGAGAAGGATGGAGCAAGAAAGGGACCTGGGCCAGGATGAGCATGGCTCTACTACTGTCCCCCTGAACAACGTCATCTTTTCCCACATCCTGGACGAGTCCATTATGGGAGCTGCTCAGGACAGGGAAATCCATTGACAGACAGCAGGTCCAGTGGTTGCCAGGGGATGGGTAGAGGGGGAAATGGAAAGTTAAAGGGTGATGAATGTTCTGGAATCACACAGCAGAGGTGGTAAGGAACACACTAAAAGCCACTAAACAGCACATTTTACAATAGTGAACTTTGGGGCTGGCATTGTGGTAGTTAAGCTGCCACCTGGGACACTAGCACCCCCAAGCACTAGTTTAAGTCCCAGCCACTCCACTTCTGATCCAGTTCCCTGCTAATGGGCCTGGGAAAGCAGCAGAGGATGGCCCACAGGGGAGATCGAAAAGAAACTCCTGCCCTCAAAGCAGCCATTTCAGCCATTTGAGGGGCAGGGGTAAACCACCAGATAGAAGACCTCTCTCTATAACTCTGCCTTTCAAACAAATAAATAATTTTCAATACCCACCCTCTGCACAAGGCTCTTCTGTCCACACAGCCACCCAGCCTGCTGCACAGGGCACTCACCTTCTCGCTCCCTGCCAGGTCCACAAGATACAGCTTTCCACTGAGCTTCTGCTCCGTCTCCATGTTTTCCTGCTTAATGTTGATGAGGAAAATGCTGTGGCTCCGAGAGCTGTGCTCATTCATGTCTGCGGGAAGAGGGAAAAGCAGGGTATGGATCAAGCCCTGGGGATCCCCATCAGCCCAGGCTTCCTTGGACCCCTCAACCCCAGATCTGCACTCACTGGTGACAGCCACGTGACGGTTTGACTTCCCCTCATCAATCACATCCAGAATCTCCTCTGGGCTGGACACAAAGCGCTCAGTACAACCCTGCACAGCATGGTGGGAGGGTGATGACATGGACTCCCATTAGGAAATTAAGCCAGCTGTACATGGGCCAGGCGATCTTTCAAGACAGCATCTGTTCCAAGCGCCCAGACATTTTATCCTGCCATACCCCAACACACTGGGCTCCTCTTACCTTGACAAATGGCACCCGGTTCTTGTCTTCATGCACAGACAGGTTCGTCTTGGTCACTGCACCGAGACAACATGGCATGAGCAAGTCCAATGCTTCTACCCACCTCCCCGGGTACCATACAGTTGGTGTCCACAGTGCATTGATCCACTACAAGTGGGGGCCTCCATCCTGAAGCCTAGGCCCCCTGTATGCAGCCCAGCCTCAGCTCCACCCCCTCTCCATTGTTGGCATGTTGGACCGGCTTTCTGAGCTCAGCTTCTGACCCTCTAAGGGTTTTGTTTTGGAAATTCTGGCTGAGAGACCAAAGAGCTCCATTCAAGAGATGATTGGATGTGTCCTGTGTGCCCCTTGAATCTCCTGGCAAGCAGCACCCAAAGCCAAAGACAAAGTGCACCTGCCTCCCTCACTTTCTCCCTCACTCCCTCCTTTCTTCAACACTCACCATCCAGAAGGTCACGGATTTTGTCCAGGTAAATCTCAAAGTAAGAGACCTGGTGAGGGAGAAAGAAGGAGTATGAAGTGAACAGAGACAACCTTAGAATGGATACAGGAGTCCCAAACTAACAAGACAAGCTCAGACAGTGGAGGGAGACAGAAGACAGAAAGTAAACATCTGGCAGAAAAGAACTGGGGTTCCCAGGAGGGTTAGTCAAGTTGGGGAGCCCAGAGGAACCCAGGTAGGTTTCACTGACAATCTTGCCCTCCCGGTGGCTTGTAGGAAGACCCGCTATTGTCACCTTGATGTGGAACTCCAGGTTCTCATCCATGGAGTAGATGTGGTTGAAGATGTCACGGGCAATCCGAGGAATGATTCCCATCAGCTGGGGGTCGTGCAGCTTTCCCTGGGGAGGAAGAGCATGGCAGCATGTGGCTGGACTCAGGAGGCGCAAGGTAACGCACGGGAAGGCAGTTAATACAAGGTCATGGGTGGCAATGGAAAGACCTCCCCGGCAACCCAGGAGACAGTCACCACCACATCTGCCTTTCAGAGGCAGGGAGAATGGAGCACCCCTTCGGACTCTCATCATGGCTGTTTCTCCAGGTCAGAAGAAAACTGGAGGAGTGGCAAGGAAGGGGGGCTGCAGCAAGTTAAGGGGGTACAGGACCTTTTCCTAGAGCACAGCCCTTCAACTTATCCTCTGGCCTTGAGAACCCTCAACTCCTAGACCTCCCTCTACCACATTCTTGGACTTCCCACCGATGCCCGATGCCCCCAGTTTCTCACTCCCCTCCCACACAGAACCCTCACCTCCATTGTATGGGTTTTCCCTGAGGAAGTCTGACCATATGCAAAAATGGTGCCATTGTAGCCAGCAAGGACATCTGGAAGATAAGCAGAGAAAGTGCACAGATGGAGCTAAGTGGGGCAAGGAGTGGGAAGCCTCAGAAAATATATCCTAAAACTATTTACAGCACGGTGGGCTAAGCAACCCACAGTCCATGTCAGAGTGCCGAATTCAGACCTCTCTACTTTCAATCCACTTTCCTGCTCATGCACTTGGGAGGCAGCACGTGATGGTTCAAATACCACCTAGAAGGGAGACCTGGATGGAGTTCCTGACTCCTGACATCAGCCTGACCTAGTCCTGATTGCTGCTGGCATTTGGTGAGCAGACCATCAGATAGAAGATACCTCACTCTCTGCTCCCCACCCCCTCCTTGTTACTCTGCTATCAAATACATAAACAACCAATCTTTAGAAAGCAACAATAAAATAACTTTAAAAAATACACATGGGTTTGGCCTAGAGGTGAAGACACCCACATTCCACATGGGAATGCCTGGATTTGACTCTGCCTTTAGCTCCCAATCTCAGCTTCCCATCAGGGGAGAAGCAGCAGCGATGGTCCAAGTCACTGGATTCCTGTCACACACATGGGAGCCCTGGATTGAGCTCCTGTCTTCAGGCTGGCCATTCCAGGCCAGTGTGGGCATTTAAAGAATGAACCAGCAGACAGGAGCGCTCTCTCTCTCTCTCTCTCTCTCTCTCGTGAATAAATATGGAAAGACAGGATGGAATGAAGGAAGAAAGATCCATTACCTTTGACAATCTGCATGGCACAGGCATGATAAACTTGCTCCTGAGTCGTGTTTGGGGGGAACACGCGGTCAAAGACATACGGTTTTCCCTGGGATGAAAAGAAAATACATCAGCCACCAGCAGGTGAAGTGTGATGGAATATAGGTCTCACAGTCCCTCCTGCAGCCTAAGAAAGACAGGCTGCTCTTCAGTCCCATGCACAGAAACCTGGAGGCAGAAGACAGACTAGAGAGAGAAGCCAAGTTCAGTATGTACACCGAAAGGCGTGTCTCTACCATGGAGTGTCACCCAAGGAGAAGGCTTCAGATCTCAGTCTAGCGTGATGGTTTCCCACACCAAATGAGAAAAAGACATGAGAGTTGCCAGCTGCAGAAAGTGAAGAATGATCCGTCAATGTTAGGAAGCATCTCAAGGGACTGGCATGATGGCTTCATTGGCTAATTCTCTTGCCTTACAAGCGCCAGGATCCCATAAAGGCACCAGTTCTCATCCTGGATGCTCTACTTTCCATTCAGCTCCCTTCCTGTAGCCTGGGAAAGCAGTCAAGCATGGCTCACCAAATCCTCGGGACCCTGTGCCTGTGCAGGAGACCCAGATGAAGTGCCTGGCTCCTGATTTTGGATCAGGTCAACTCTGACCACTGTGTGACTATTAGGGGCTTGAATTAGCAAATGGAAGACTTTCTATCTCTCCTCTCTGTAGATCCTATCTGCTGTTCATATATATTTTTTTAATATATTTATACATGTATATGTAAACACCTTGAACTTGGCATGTGTTTACTGTTTAAAAAAAAGACAAAAACTAAACAGAAAACAAAGATAAATGTAGGTCCTAACACCAAACTAAGAAATACACTCTATAAGCATAAAGATGTTCAATATTTCCAAGAAAAGGAACTGAAATGAGACCTTTTTTTTTTTTTTTAGCTATCATGGGGGAAAATAAACTTCCAATTGTAATTCTCAGAGTAGAAGAAGGGGCAAGGAAATGAGCACCCCCACTCCTCCCTGGAGAGCACATCCCGGTTGTCACGGAGTGATTCAGATATGCATCATCAGGAGCCTCACACAAGACCCACACAGCCTGCTTCCAACCAGATTACACAGGAGCAACTGTGGAGCTGCCAGAATCCTTCCTAGCACTCACCTATTCATAATGAGACACTGGAAACAAAGAAGTAACATTTCAGGCGCTGGTAACCCCAGGGAATTGATTAAATGATGTCTTTGGGCACCCACTGTTTTCCTGACTCCTACTTAAAGAAACTGGAGCAAAATAGATTAAGACTCCACCTGCGGTGCTGGCATCTCATAGAGAATCTGGTTCGAGTCCTGGCTACCCCACTTCCAGTCCAGCTCCCTGTTAATGAGCTTGGGAGAGCCATGGAAGATGGTCCAGTTCCCTGGGCTCCCACACCCTGCACTTGGGAGACCCAGAGGAAGCTCATGGCTTTAGATCAGCCCAGCTCTGGCCATTGTGGCCATTTGGGGAGTGAACCAGCCAGTGGATTGAATATCTCTCTCTCTCTCTCTCTCTCTCTGTCTCTTCTCTCTCTGAAAATTTGCCTTTCAAATAAAAATAAATAAATCTTGAATAAATCCATTAAAAGACATAATAGAATATCAATAAATCTCAAAAACAAGTTGAATAACACTGTGTATTATTCCCTATATTATATTAAGTTCAAGAATGGACCCAGGGCCCAGCACAATAGCCTAGCAACTAAAGTCCTCCTCTTGCACGTTCCAGAATCCCGTATGGGCACCGGTTCTAATCCCAGCTACTCTACTTCCCATCCAGCTTCCTACCTGTGGTCTGGGAAAGCAGTCAAGGATGGCCCAAAGCCTTGGGACACTGCACCTGTGTGGGAAACCTGGAAGAAGTTCCTGTCTCCTGGCTTTGAATCAGCTTAGATCCAGCTGTTCTGACTACTTGGGTAGTGAATCAGCAGACAGATCTTCCTCTTGTCTCTCTTCTTCTTCATAATCTGACTTTCCAATTAAAGAAATACATGTTTTAAAAACTAAAAAAAAAAAAAAAAGCCATGGAGCACTTCACTCACAATGTGTGTACCAAATAAAAATTACTTCTCAGTGGCGGTTCCTTCTCTGCTAAATAAATAAGCAAATCTAGACAAAGGGATGAGGGGGAAAGCAAGAGGCAAAACAGTATGAATGAGGAGTCTTCAAAAAATCAAGGAAGGGCCTGGCGTGTTGGCCTAGCAGCTAAAGCCCTCGCCTTGAACACGCCAGGATCCCATATGGGCACTGGTTCTAGTCCCGGCAGCTCCACTTCCCATCCAACTCCCTGCTTGTGGCCTGAGAAAGCAGTTGAGGACGACTGAAAGCCTTGGGACCCTGCACCCGTGTGGGAGACCTGGAAGAGCTCCTGGCTCCTGGCTTCGGATTGGCTCAGCTCCAGTTGTAGTGGCCGCTTGGGGAGTGAACCATTGGACAGAAGATCTTCCTCTCTGTTTCTCCTCCTCTCTGTATATCTGACTTTGTAATAAAAATAAATAATAAATATTTTTTAAAATTTTAAAAGAAGGAAATGTGCACCAGGAAAAAGTACACATTGAATCCCATGTTTACACACATGTTTTGAAGGACCCTCATATAGCATATTATCATTTATGTAAAAAAGTATATACATGTACATGTATTTACTTGTAAATGGACAATATATTTCTGGAAAGAGTCACAAAAAATGGCTAGCAATGCTTGCCCTCTGAAAAGGAATGTGGGTGGCTAGGAAAGAGAAGTGGAGGAAGCTTAGATTTCACTGTGTTTCTTCACATTTGTTTGAATTTTGTCACACGTACATGAAAGATTCATTCAAAAGTTTAACTAAAAATTGTAAAATAGGGGCCTGGCATGTCAGCATAGTAGGCTAAGCCTTTACCTTCTGGTCCAACTCCTTGCTTACAGCCTGGTAAAGCAGCGGAGGATGGCTCAAAGCCTTGGGTACCTACACCCACATGGGAGACTAGGAGAAAGCTCCTGGCTCCTGGCTTAGGACTAGCCCAATTTCAGTCATTCTGGACACTTGGGAAGTGAATGAGCAAATAGAAGATCTCTTTCTTTTCTTCACTGTGTAACTGTCTTTCCAATGAAAACAAACAAATCTCTAAAAAGAACTGTAAAATAATTTAAAAGCTACACAACAATATTTAGTGATGGTAAAATAGCTATGATATTTGTTAGTAAAAAGACAGATTATGAAACCACATAGTTCCTGATTCACTTTTATTAAAATTAATATATATAAATATGTAAGAAATAAACACTGGAAACAAACACAACTCATCAGATTCCTAATGGTGCTTTTCTTGCAGTGGTGCCATTTGGGATAGTTTTTATGCATTCATCTATAATTTTATAGTTTTCTCTTCTTTTAAGATTTTTTAAGCATTTAAAGCTCCTAAAGCACTGCTCCAGCTGCATCTCACACATGCTAACACTATATTTTTATTGCCATTTATTTTTTTTAATTTATTTCTTTTTATTGAAAAGTCACATATACAGAGAGGAGGAAAGACAGAGAGAAATGTTTTTTGTCCACTGATTCACTCCCCAAAGTGACAGCAATGGCCGGAGCTGCGCTGATCCAAAGCCAGGATCTCGGATCCTCTCCAAGTCTCCCACACGGGTACAGGGTCCCAAGGCTCTGGGCCATCCTTGACTGCTTCCCCAGGCCACAAGCAGGGAGCTGCATGGGAAGCAGGGGCCCCCGGGATTAGAACCAGTATCTTTGTGTGATCCTGATAGATGCAAGACAAGGATTTAGCCACTAGGTTACTGTACCCTGCCCAGTTTCTTTTGTCTTTAACTGTGCCAACAAATAAAATCCATTCGTTTCACTTTTAATATTGTGAGAGAAAATCACATTTTTAATTTTCAAATTCTGATCCTAGCATTTCCCCCCACAACAAGCAGGGCACATTCCTCTTGGCCAATGCCTGTCAGCTCATCCAGGCATCTAACTAAAGAGGGGCAAGCCGATAGCAACCCTTAAGCTTAGCTTGTCCTTCCTTTTTCCTCCTGGGAACAGGGGCACCCACACACTCACACCCACACGCACTCACTCAAAACATTCCCCTGGACTAAATTCCAGAAGGCTTCCCGGACCTGTTAAAATGGAGGGCGCTCTCCAAATGCTGAAGCCTGAGACTGCCAGGCGGCCTCCTTTCTCAAGCCTGGTGGGAAAGAAGGAACAGCACACAGAATTAAAGGATGGGGTTCTCAAGTGTGGGAACTAACACTAAGTGAGCACACTTAATAACCTCTGGAGCAGAGAAAGCCCTGGGACTTATGTCACAATATCAGGGGTGCCAGGAAGACTTGCTACCTACGTCCTTGGATGGGCACTTCAATGCCAACCTCTTTCCTCCTTTACTTAAGATTTTTTTTTTATTGTTGTTAACATTGTATTATGTGATACAGTTTTATAGGCACTGGGGATTCCCCCCACCCGTCCCATACCCCTCCCCCCATGGTGGATTCCTCCACCTTGATGCATAACCACAGTTCAAGTTCAGTTGAGATTCGTTCCTTGCAAACACATATCTAGTACTTAAGATTTTTATCCTTAGGGCTGGTGTTATGATGCAGCGGGTTATGCTGCCACCAACAGTATCAGCATCCTGTTTGGGTGTGGGTTCTAGTCCAGCAGCCCCAATTTTTTTTTTTTTAATTGGAAAGGCAGATATACAGGGAAGAGGAGAGACAGAGAGGAAGATCTTCTGCCTGATGATTCACTCCCCAGGTGGCCGCAACGGCCGGTGCTGCGCTGATCCAAAGCCAGGAGCCAGGAACTTCTTTCTAGGTCTCCCACATGGATGCAGGGTCCCAAGGCTTTGGGCCATCCTTGACTGCTTTCCCAGGCCACAAGCAGGGAGCTAGATGGGAAGTGGAGCTGCTGGGATTGGAACCAGCGCTCATATGGGATCCTGGCGCATTCAAGGCAAGGACCTTAACCATCACGCTATTACGCCGGATCCCACTTCCAATCCCTGTTAATGTATGTGGGAAAGCAACCCCACTTTTCAATCCAGCTCCCTGCTAATGTGCATGGGAAAGCAGTGGAAGATGGTCCAAATCCTTGGGCTCCTGCACCCACATGGCATATCTGGATGAAGCTCCTGGCTTTGGATTGGTCCAACCCTGGACCATTTGGAGACTGAGTCAGAATGGAAGGTCTCTGTCTGTGTCTCTCTCTGCCTCTGCTTCTCCCTGTCTTTATAACTCAAATAAGTAAATAAATCTTTGGGGAAAAAAAAGATTTTTATTCTTGATCAAGTATTAAATTCTTTCAATTTCCTACTGGTTATACTTAGGATGATCATCATCGCTTCAGATCTTCTTAAGAGAATCCCCAGGCCCAGGGTTTTCTACTTTCCCTGCCCTCTAAGCTTCTGACATAGAGACCACTACCTGCCTTTACTTCCCTGATAACGACTCCTTTGAATCCCACTACTGCAGGTCTTGAAAAGTCCCTTTTTGGAATGTGGGAGAGTGGGCACATAGTTGGGAGAGCCAATTCTTTTGTCCCTCTCACTGGCATCCTGCTGCCCTGGCCACTCCACCGTTAAAGACTGACATCTGGATCCAGAATTTCTTGGAGGCAGGGAGTCCCTTTAGACCCCCAATAGCAGAGCCCCTGGCCCATGCCACGCCCCTCACAAGCAGTATATAACAGTATCTGTTATAAACAGATACTAATGAAGAAGACAGCAGGAAGGGCCTGGAGATTTGAATTAAACGATCAGCAAAAGGGGAAAGTAGTAACCTCTTCCGAATTTTATCAAAAGAGCTGGTGGCCAGCCAAACTAGAAAACTGTAACAGCTCATGGAGTAAGCACCTGTCACTAGGCATCATTTCATTTCACGCTCACTGGTTATTGCAGAAGCTAAGTACTGTTCCCATTCTCATGCCATCCATGAGGAAACAGGCTCAGAGAGATCTCTGGAGATCACCCACAACCACAAAGCTGAGAAATGGTCGAGCACAGTGTCCAACCCAAGCGATCCCATTCCAGGCACACCCAGAGGAAGCCAAATGCCAACCCTCATGGCTTTTCCTTATGCTGCCCCAAATGCACCTTGACCGCAGTCCCTTCGGGCGTGGCTGTTTTCTCCAAGCAGACAGAAGGGAAACCTACCACACTGCGCTTTCTCCAACCTCCTTATGGGAAGCGTGTGGTCCTCCCACCCAGCCTTTCAGAAGGCCCTTCTTCACCCTCACCACCTCCAGGTCATCAGAGACCCTGCCAGAGGCCAGAGAAGTATTCCCTCATCTTATTTCACTCTCCCCCAATCCCAGCAGAGTGACTACTGCTACCCCTAGTGGCCAGGTTCTCACTGACCCTCACAGCTCGCTGAGCAGCTCCTCAGAGCTCAGCAGCCCAGGTTTCCTGTTCTGTAGCCCAAAGCTTCCTGTTCCTTTGCTCCTCCACTTGCACATTCCAGCACCTCTCTGCATGCTAAACTAACAAGGGGTGGGGGTGAGGGGCCAGAAACAGGGTGCTAAAGACAATCAACCTGTTCAAGCTTCACAAAAAACACTTGGTAGAAGAAGCTAAATTGCAAGTGTGGGGCCGATTTCCATGGTGACACCCCTGGGGAGTGTTGCCATGGTAATGATGGAGCGACACCGGCCACAAGGAACATCACCGCCCCTCTCTGCATTCCTTTATGAGACTCCCCCAAAGCTAAGGGGAGCCCTGTTCCTCACACTGCTTCAGCTATTAACAGAGGCCCAGACTACCCTAAGCTGTACTGGCTCTGATCCAGTAACACTGTAGCCCCCAACCTAGCTGGGCCCAATCAGGTACTTGATGGTCCTGGTTTCTTACCCCACTGGAGCCCCAAGAACAAATAAGGGGAGTGTCAACATGCGGACCCCTGAATGAAGAAGAAGGAGTGTGTGGCATCTCCTCCCACACCTGGGGCAGCTCCGACAGTGGGTCTGAGTACATTGCAGAGAAAGGCTAGGGTAGAATGAAGCAGAGAGTCACTTAGGGCCAGGAAGTCATGCTGGATTTCCAGTGCGCACAGAGCAAAACAGAGACACCCCACACAAGGATGGTGACCCCAACACTCGGCCACAATACCCTAGACTCCTCTGCCCTACCCCAACTCAAGAGAGATGTCAGAGGGGTGGGGGAAAAATCAGGTGCCCAGCGCTGTCTCTCCAGCTTCTTTTCCTATCTTCTGCCAGGCAGAACAAAGCCCAGGAATGCAAGGGACTCACTCATTCAGCAGCCCAAAGCTTTGAGCTGGTTGCAATGCTAATACCCCAGAAACGACCACCAAGACTGATTTTGAGACTGGGCAGGAAGGGCCTGGGGGTGGAGTTTGGAGATACTTTCCTTGCCTACCTTCCCACACATCCATCCTGAAGCAACCCCCTCTACCAGTCCCTCAGTCCTAGAGTTCCCAGCACAAGGGCCCCCCAAAGAGAGTGAGAGAAGGGACAGGAGAGGACTAGGAGCCATCCTTTCTTGGCGTGGGGTTGGGGGAACGACCTTGCAGGCTCCCCAGGAACCTCATCTCCTGCTGCTCTCACTCTCCTGAAGGCAGAATAAACCTGCCTGAATGAACCCACAAGGCTGACTGAAACAAAATGGCCCCCTGGAAGCAGCAAGGCCTGCAGTGAGAGACCGAAAAAAGCCCAGGAAGATGGAAGATAAGCGTATGTAGAAGTATCGGGCCAGACAGATGAGGAATGCCAGCAGTGGGGCTGAGCTAGAATCAAGATTGGCAAGGGGGCCCTCCTTCTGCTCCCTCTCTGCTCCCGCCCCACCCCTGCTTAGCTGGTCCAATTGGGCACATCAATAGCACAACCCCTCCTGCCAGCATCACCCTCTGCCCCACGCTATCTCACCAGGAGTGGGGGCAGGAGGCCATGGATCCTTAAGGAACTAGGTCAGACTTAGGGAAAACAAGGGAAGTTGGGCCTTTGGTGGATTCACTTGTTCCCCTAACCACCTCTTTCCTAGTCTCAGAAGACCTTGGGCTCCGACCCTTACAATTCAGTTGGTTACCCAGACTCTTCATATAAAGCAGCCGCTCCCCACCCCCACTTCACCTCACCCTCCACTAAGGCATCATCTGGACTTGGCCAGACAGAGACAACTGCAAACACCTGCAGTCCCCAAAGCAAAGGGAGCAGCAGCCTTGTCCATGTGACAGTCACTGTCACTCACACATGTGTATATAATCACATGCACACAGCAAGCAAAAGCACTTGAATTCACAGTATGCATCAGGGTGTAGGGTGGTGACAAACCAAATAAGCAGGTCCCCCCACTTTCACCACTTAAGGCGTGTTTACCCTAAGTCCCATTTTCACTGACTCAGATGGCCCTGGTTGCCTCCCCTTCCTCCCCTTGGCTCCTTCACCAATCTGAGTGCCAACTGCCTTGCACCAAGCACTGTGGATCCAAGAGGCATCCAAAGTGGCCCTGACCTTGAGAATGGCCCTCCTCTCTCAAACCAGCTATCTCCCTTCCTCTGTACTGTTTCCTGGCCCAGTCTTTCTCATCTCAGACTCTGCAAATGGGCTGGACCCCCAGATCCTTCATCCTATACCCATAGCCTGGAGAGTTCCCACCCACTAGAGCCAGGCCCAGAAAATTCCCTTTGGACCATCACAGGGGGAGCTGCAGAACTGGAAGCTGAGAGGCAATGCGACAGCAAGTGGAAAGGTGTGGGCTGCGCAGCGGCCACAGATTTGGGGCTCAGATCCAGCATGACCTTGAGAAAGTCATCCAACTTCTTCTGGCCTCAGTGTCCTCATCTGTGAAATGGAAACATGGATGCTACTGCAGAGCCCTTGCTCTAAGGCTTCAGTAATTAATTGGGCAGCACACAATCCGTGTCAATTCCCCAACTCTCCTCCATGTTAGGGGCTGCTACTTTTCATTGGAATGACAAGGGGAAAGGATGATGAATAAGCAAATACTTCTTGCAATTGCAGGGCATGGGGCAGGGGAAGACTGGGGAGTCTGGAATCTTTCTTACTGTACCTAGAAGGGCCAGACTTGGTCTTAGGATCTCAAAGGTTCCCTCCCCCAAACTGGGTGTGGCATCCACTGTATTTTTTTTTTCTCCTATCCTAATTGTAGGCTGTTAACTACTTTGGGAGATGAGGGGGCTCTTGTCCTACAGCCCATCCCTCCACAGAGACCCCTGGCTGCCCATCTCCCAGCGAGCCTCTCCCCTAGGTTTTTCTTCTCTGGTGGGGCTCTGGGGTGGAGGCCTGAGCCAACAACAAAGAGAGGATGTGCTTTCTCTAGGGGTAGAGGGAAAACATCAGAAAAAGAGCAGCTCTGAAGGAGGGGTGAAGATGCTGCAGAGACCGGCAAAGGGGACTTTGAGCTCCTCAGGCGGACGCGGCCCCCTCCCATCCTGCAGAGGCCGAGCCGCAGGTCCGGCCCAGGCCACACCCAGCCTCTTCCCTGGATGGGGAGAAAAGGAGGGGCTGCCGCGGAGACAGAGGACGAGCAGCGGGGAGGGGGCGCTGGGTGCCAGGCAGAAACGAAGCTCTGTGGGGGAAAAGATGTTCCATCCCCCCCCCCCAATTACCCGCTGAGGCGACTCTCACCCCGATAACGACGCTGTCGTCTCCTTGGAAAATGGGGATAAACTTGTCCCCCCGCAGAATTTCAGCCTGGTTCAGGGGCCGAAATCGGCAGAGCACTTTGATGCTACATTCGTTGTTGGTCTCCGCCATGGTGGTCGCAGGCGTGGGGCTGGGGTACTGCTAGGGCGGCCGAGGTGATGCGCTCCTCCAGGAGGCAGGTGCTGAAAGCTGAGGCCGAGCCTGGGCACAGGTGCTGGCTCGCTGGTCCGGAAAGACAGTCGAGTGTGAGTGTGTGTGAGACAGAGAGAGAGGGAGAGAATGGGGGGCGGGGGGCGGGCTCCAAGGCGGAGGCTGGCGAGCGGGGCCGGGCTGGCTTTCTCGCTGCTGCGGCACAAGGATGCGGGCGACCTGGGCGTCTGGTCCTCACCGCTGTTCCTCTCCGCCCCTCGCGCTGCAGCGCTGCGCTGCGGGCCTGGGCGGGGCGCGCCAGCTCGGGGCGGGGCCTGCTGCGCAGGGGGCGCGCTCCGTACCCCCGCGCAGCTCCTGCAGCCGCCTTCCCCACGCGAGATGACCTTGTCCTCACCTCTCTCCGACCCGACTCACTCAAGGCATCATCCACCCCACGCTCCCATACCCTGTGTGTCACTCCAGCTCCTAGGTGAAGGGATTGAATGGACCTGACGCCTGGCTTGGGAGGGGGTGAGGTGGGGCTTCCATTTCTTCATCCCAGTGCATCCTCCACCCATGTCACGGGCCTCTCCCCAAATTAAGAGAACGCACCTCATTTCCTCCCTCCTCCAGCCCATGCCCCAAAGCAAGGAAGCTGGATTCTTAAGGCTCAGCCTGCAAGAGTGACTGCCTGCATCCCAGGGGAGGTGGGTGTCCAGGTGCTATGGCTGGGAGTGGTGATTGGGAAGGTCTGGCTTCCCTTTTCCCCTTCTGCAGCCAAAGGGCCACTCTGCTCTCCAAGGTACTCACAGGGTCTCCACTTTGAGAACAAAAACTCCTATTCTGGGCTATCAGAATTCAAAAAGTGCATAAGATACATATTACTGCCTGCAGGATTTGGGCTGAGCTGGAGGTTGGCAGCAGTCAGCATCCGGGAAACAGGTGGTGATGGGAGCGAGTGGGTGGGAAAGGCTGGAGGGGTGGATAAACACCTACATCCGGGCTTCAGCCAGGTTGGGGCACCTCTAAGAGACTGTACTTCTTGTCCTGTTGCCTATGAATAGTCTCAGCACCCCGGCCCAGTTCTCAGGCCTTTCTCTTCTAACGTTCTCCATTTACTGGTAAACAGTTTTAAAATCATCATCGTCATCCAGAGATGCCTCATCTCTTCATCCCCTTGAGTCAGACTCCTGAAACAGCCCGGAGCACTGAGAAGCTGGCTGAATTGATTTCTTTTCTCCCATGTCACAGGCCTCGGCTGCGCAAGAGCTGATTCCACTGAGGCTCTAGGCCAAGGGAAGGGCAAGATGGTGGGAGAAGGAGGAGGGGACTGGTTGGTAGGTCGCCAGGGGCAAGAGTGAGAGGCTGGTGGCCTGGCTGCACACACTCAATTGAGCTGTCGGCTCTTCCCCTATACCTCCTCCACCCCATCTTACATATTAAGGCACCTGAAGGAAAGGGGTCCTGTCCAAGGAACTGACTAGAAGGGCAGCAGGACCCGGGAGAAGGAAGTGGAGGCTTGGGCAGGAGCCAGGGGCAAGAAGGACAATGAGTTCTGAATCTAGTCACTGGGGTTTGGCACCATTTCTAAGAGGTTGCAGCATCTGACAAGTTCAGAAAGCATCTCAGGGGCTGCCAGGTGGCATCCTTAGGAGCCAAAGGGTTTCACATGGTTAGTCCATGGAGGGTCACCAGGCAGGTGCTCAGACCTTCAAGGACAAGGTGAAGTTTTTCTGAGTTTTTCACTTGTTACAGTTCAAATGTCTGTCTGAAAATTATGAGAGCCTGCCCTTCCTACATTGTTTTTGTAATCGAACAGATGTAATTATTAAATGGTAAAGTAAGAGATTGCAATTTTTCTTTGTAATGTTCTTACTTAATAAAATCAAAAGATACAATGTGTAGCCTTGAAAAAAGGTTTGTTGTTTTCATTTTATTGGACTGTGAAATTCAAAAGTCCCGGAACTACAGGCCAAGTGACTAAGAACACAGTGTACAGATACACACCAAGGCCCCACTAATCTTAAGAATTAACGCAGGACTTGCCAGATTTGAAATCTTTTCAAAAAGTTTTTTTCCCCCCGAAAAAAAAGGTTGAATTTGAATGTCAGATATACTCATTTTTCTGTGTGTATCAGTATTTGGCATGGCCTATACTCATACAAAAACAAAACACAAATAACCTATTATTTATCTGACATTCTCATTTAACCGTGTGCCCTGCATTTTACCTGGCCCGTCCTAACTAGGGAAGTTGGCTTTACTTTTCCAGTCATAATATGCCTCTCGTTAATGTTTCTGAAGCCCAGGCTATGCTGTAACAGTAGGCTTAGCTCTGCGATGTTAACTAGTCACTTAATTTCTGGGATCCCAACTCCCACTTTCAATGAGAAACCAAAAGGAGCTGTGGAATGGAGTGCCCCAAGCAGCCTCAAGGCCATTCCCCACCCAAGCTTCCGCCAACCAAGACTACACATCCCACAATCCCAGGCGGCGGTCCCGGGCCATTACCTCATGGCCTAGCCTCGCTTTCGCCAATCCCTGCCTCTCCAGGGGTGTGGTCTCGGGCTGTTCTCGCGACTTTTGTTTTAGTCCTTTGCTGTGCTGCTCTTGTCGCGAGATTTCGGGCGCGTCTGCCGCTCCCTGGGCCTCCGCCTTAGCCTGGGACCCAGACCCAACCTTTCCCCTAGCCGGTCCCCTACCCCGGCTTCACCGAGGCCCCGCTCCCCCATCTCCGCCTCGCCGCCGCCATGGCGGACCCTAAATACGCCGACCTTCCCGGCATTGTGAGTACAGGGCTGCCTCGGTTTCCCCAGGACCTCGGTCCCTATCTCCCAGGGACGACCCCCTCCCCCCGCAACAGAAATTTCTCCGACCCCTCCCGCCTGCAGCCCCTCTTCCGCCCCGCAGAGCTCCCCGGCTGTGCCCCTCGGGCCGGCCGCCTCACCTTCCGGACGATTCTGAGCCGGACTGGGCCAGGCCTGGCTGTTGCATCGGCCACCAGGCCCCCTTGCCGGCTAACGCTGGTGTCTGAACCACTTGTGCCCTTGTATTTTCACCATCTGTGTCCACACCTCCAGTGCCGTCCCAAGTGCCCCCCGAAGCTCCCCTTCCTTGTACCCGACACACACCAGGCCAGTTGGGATGGTCATCAACCTGCCAAGAGAGAGGCTACTGGGGTAGTCCCTGTTCTTGTGCCAGAGGGGGAGGTCTGGCCTTCCGGTAACCTGTACCCCCGTCCCCATGTGCTGGGCTGCTCACCTTTTGGGTCTTGGGTTGGGAATTGGGGCACAGGACCTTGTAGGCACAAGTCCTGAGTCACTCTAACCCTTGTGTCTTGTGCGGGGATAGTGATGTCCTGACCTGCTTCTGACATGGTGGTTGTCCAGGCTGCCCCCCACCCCCCCATCCTGAGTAACATCTTTGTTATGACTTACCCTAATGGGCAGATGGAGGAGGAAGGACCGGGTTCTGGTCCCACAGCCTCCCTTCTCCATGGGCTTGTTGGGGGGCAGGGGGAAGAGGAGGTGTCAGGTGGGGGTGCTGGGTAGTAAGGCTGGGCACTAACCGCTTCTGCCCACAGGCCAGGAATGAGCCGGATGTTTATGAAACCAGCGACCTCCCTGAGGATGACCAAGCCGAGTTTGATGCGGTAAGACACTGTGCTGCTTCAGGACTGTTCCTCTTGAAGCCCCGAGACAGATCCTTCCCCTTGAATGATGAGCCACAGCAATGAGGGGGTATGCCAACCCCAGCCTGGAGGGTACGGGGGCTGCACAGGCGGAACAGCAATGCCAGGAAGCAGAGTTCATCCAATAGGAGTACAGCTTTCCCAAGACCTGTTTGCAGAGCCCTGATCCTTGGGCTTTCAGATACTGCCAACAGAAAGGGCTCAGAAATTAGTTCCATCTGACACTGGCAACCAAGTTCAGGCCCTGGGTTCCCACCCAAGGCAAGTAGCACTTGGCATAAAGAAATTAGGGCTTTTCTTGCGTGTTCCTTAGGATCCTACTGAGAACTAGGCCTTGATGTGTAGAGAAATACTTTCTCATGTGAGCACCCAGTATTTACTGGATAAAGAGTCAGGGAGTTATTTGGAGGTGTTAGATAAAGGTCACGATCAGAACAAAATGAATATTTCAGATTAGCAGAAAAGAGGCTAAAGTAGCTCTACTCTACCAGATCTAAGACCTCTGAAGAGGAAGGAACCAGCAGTGGATGCATTTTTAACCATGAGGAAAACCGTTTCTTGTTTTGTTTTGTTTTTTGAGAAAATGTGAATATTAGGACTGCACAGTGGCTCAACAGGCTAATCCTTTTGCAGCACTGGCATCCCGCATGAGTGCCAGTTCTAGTGCCAGTTGCTCCACTTTTCATCCAGCTCCCTGCTGGTGGCCTTGAAAAGCAGTGGAAGATGGCCAAAAGCCTTAGGAATCTGCGCCCACCTGGGAGACCTGTAGAAAGCTCATGGCTCCTGGCTTTGAACTGGCCCAGCTCTGGACATTGCAGCTATTTGGGGAGTGAGCTAGCAAATGAAGGATATCTTCCTCTGTCTTTCCTAATCTCTGTAAATCTGCCTCTCCAATAAAAATAAATCTTTTAAAAAGTGAATATGAAAATATGAAAGGGAAAGGATGTGAAAGGCAGAAGATAGTGTTTTTTTTTTTTTTTATGTGAAAGAAAGAGAAATAACTGTCTGCTAGTTCATTCCTTAAGTACTGCAGTAGCTGGGACTCGACCAGGCTGAAGCCAGGACCCAGGAACTCAGACTGGGTCCCTCCTGGAGATGGCAGGGAACCAACTGCTGCAGCCATCACCTGCTGCCTCCCATGGTGTACATTACAGAGAGCTGCCATCAAGAGCAGAGCAGGGACTGCAGTCCAGGCCCTGCCACTTAGGATGCCAGTGTCCCAATGCCATCTTAACTGCTGCTGCACTGAGCACCTGCCCCAGGGAAGCCATTCAGCATCACGGATTGAATGTGGTTATTCTGGGTAGGATTTTCCTTGCTCTGCGGGGAAGAAATGCCCCTGTCCTCACAGAGCCCACAACTGAGGGAAGCATTGAAGTGAATTCAGGAAACCTATGGAGCAGAA